ACCCAGAATGTACATGTACGGTAGCAGGACATGACAGAGACTCTGCTGCACGTCTGATATGGTGAACGAGTCTTTCTTGCAATTTTTTGTCATTCCACTTGCCACACCGATTGATACCTCTACATATTGCTGCACAACCAGCATAGTTGTTTAGTTGTCTTTTTACCATCCTTCTTTGTGTGATGTTCAGATGCAGGCTTGGTCCAGTTTTATGGTTGAATGCGGCCATCAGGACCCAGAATGTAGCAGGACAAGGCAGAGACTCTGCCGCTTGTCTCACATATGGTGTACGAGTCTTTCTTGCAATCTTTGTCATTCCACTTGTGTTGCTTCTCATTATCTATTGTTGCACAGTCCTGCCCCTTCCAGTTGCTTGGTTGTCCCTCTGCCCAGTTGGCAAACTGCATTTTCTTGACACCATCAGGATAATTACACACCCATGTGCCCTCCATGCTTGCATCATTACAGCCAAGCCAGGCCCTGGGCATGCCTGAATTTCTCATTTCTTCAGCAATGAATTCATTCTCTTCCTCTGACTCAATGACCAACAGCATGCCACCAAGCCCTTGGCAGTATGTGTTTGCATTCTCCCAGTCTGTGCCATTATCTGTGTACTTGTAGCAAGATGAGCCATGTTCTTTCCAACCTGGTTTGCAAACGGCATTTACACCAAGGCAGCCAATGATGACAATTAAAATGGCTAGTTTGATGTTCTTTGGTTTAATTAAGGCCATCATATTCAGTTTATCATCAATGAAGTAAGTATACAAGTTTCTCAGTCAACTTCAACTTCCATTTAGTTGAAAGGAATAGTCACTGTTCAGCTCAAGACCATACACTGAATGTAGCAGTTCTCTTTATCCAGTAAAAAACACAAGATATGTAAGATGCAAGATGTATATAAAGACTGGTTTCTAGGAGCAAGGATGCAGGAAGATGCAGCAACCATCTTCTTGTCTCAAGATGGATCATGCTCCTAAGGGATCTGAACATCAGTCCTTGACAACAGCATCAGGGTGAAAGCCTGTGATGTGATCCAAAGCTTTTCAGTCAATGATGACAATTTAGCAGCCAAGTACTTTAAGAAACCACCAAGCAAACATGCTACAGTTGTACATGGTGTTGAAGACAGTCTGTGACATGACTGAATTCTAAGCAGTCAAATGATGAAATGAGGACAGCACCAATTTAGTTAATATGCACTGTGGGTAGGCAACAAGTGACCGGGCTTCAAGGAACAGTCATCAATATACACCCTGACGTGATGTAGTGCCATGATAATGATAATTATAATAAAAACAGGCGATAATTACAGCCTTGAGCGCCAATAACGGAGGATAAGTGCACTTTATAATTACACATTATTACTAATTACGCATTATTGGTGTTGAAGACAGTCTGTGGAGTACTGTGGCCTCGTGGTTAAGGGCACTGATTCGTGGTCTGCGGGTAAAGCTGCAGGTTGTGGGTTTGAAACCTGGCGGGGTCATGGTGCGTGTGCCCTTGGGCAAGGCACTTTGTCACTCATTGCTTCTCTCCACCCAGGAGTACATGTAAATGGGTACCTGTGAGGGCAGAGATGGTTATTGTGATTGAATTAGCTTCCTTGCGCCTAACAGGCTGCATCGAGCTGTATACTCCCCAGGGAGCTGAGATGGTATTTGGAATGTTTCATTGGCCCAATGAGCAGGGGTAATAATGATGTAGCGCCTTGAGCACCAGTCCTGGTGGATATGTGCGCTTTATAAATATCCACTATTATTATTATTATTAAGTTTATATTATTCTTCATTTAATATCCTGTCTGCAACAATAGAGGACCCATAAACGATTTCAGAAGACTGAGATGGCAAACTACCTCAGTGTATTGTGACAATAACTGAACGACGGTGAACATGCTGCCTCCCTCTGTTGTAACAATACCACTGGTAGATGAAAAAGTGCCCTATTGTCTTCAAGAAATATGGGCAGTTGGGGCAATTTTCCTTGTTATACTCTTACTGCCATACGAACAATACAGACCCTTTCTACGAAATTTTGTAAAAATATTGATGAAACTACCTCAAAGCATCTACATGTAAAAATTTGCTAAATTTGGCTCTTTTCTAACCTTTTCTTAACAATTATAGATGGCCAAAAATGGCCAGACACTCCCCTAAAAACACAGATAAATGAAGTAAATCTGCCTTGTTATCTTGTAACAACATTGTTGGATGCAGATGAAAACTAATTCACTATGTACAAGCAACCTATGGCAACAAGGATAAAGAGTTGTACACTGATAAGATATATCCTAGCAAAACAGATTGATGGAGAAAACCTTCCCTCTCAGTTTTTGAGAAAACCAACACAATGTAGATGAAAACTGCCTACCAATATACAATTAAAATGTTATTTAGGAAACTTTTCCTCCAATGGTAAGAAAGGTAGAGGCAAACCACCATGCACTATTACACATACAGAATAATTGCCAAATGGTCTTGTAAGATCACTGGATTGAAGAACACCATGTACAGTTAAATATCTTCATCACTGAGGAAGTTGGTGAAAATTACTAAAGACTGATAACGATGAAAACAAAACACCTATAAGAATACAAATTTGTGACACTATAGAGCAATCAATCAAATAGTTGTGTATTTTTTTTCTATGAAAAGAGGAAAATCGATAAATCTTCCTGAATGAAATTTTTACATCCTGCTGAAAGCATTTGCATCCAGATGGTGAAATATGCAAGCAAAAAAAAAAAAATGACTATTTTTCATTTTCGGTGCCATTTTGTGTCATGTGCCCATGCTAAGCTGCTTTGTTTTTCAAATAAAAATGTTTATAACAGAACTTAGACACCACACTGTGTTTGTAAGAATTGCTTGCTTGCAGTGCACTCTGTGTGCATTTCAATATCAACTGACAATCTGTAACAAGCAGGGCTGCAGTTTTTACTCTTGTACCGGTACTGCCAATTGTAGGAAGGCAGACATGGCCTTATTCACTTGAACATGACAACAATGTGTCAGGGCCTTGGACACTTTCTGCCATTTTCTGTTAAAATGAAAGTTACTCATTTACTTTCAAAACCAAGGAACAAACACATCTTCAACAATTTCATTCTGATAATCTTATTTTACAAATCAAGTACCTTTTGCATATTGTTTTTCACTGGTTGGCAATTCATAAAATCGATTAAGTTCAGACAATTTTTTAAAGCTGCAGCAAGCACTCTAGATACAGTTATCTATTATAAGTGATGGAGCCCCTACAAATGCACAAAATGACTGTTATTCCTCACAAAATCAGCACATTTGCTACTGACAAAACATAGTCACTGACTGTGATAAAAATAATACCGTATATTAAAGATTCATGTATATTTCATATCCTTAGAAAGCAATAAATTTGTATAAATTAAAAAGGGAGCGGGAACAAGCAAACAAATTGACATCAGCCTTTTTTTTCTCTCTGCTGAAAATGAAAAGCAAACATGCTCCAATTTTGTTTGTACATTTACAAGACTTTATACAATTACAATATCTTTATTTTCACAAGTTTGGTTCTAAGTTCACATGCTGGATATAAATCATTTATTCTACCCATTCACTTCTATTACAGGTACAAAGATACATTGTATGCAGGTTGACAAAGGTACGCTAAGAACCAGAAACCAATTTCATCTATTCGAATCTATATGTAATCGGACGCAGAAGTATTTATTTTTTTGGCCCTATCATATTGAAATGACAACATGAGCATCACTTAGTTTTAAGCAACCATTTGCGAAAGGTTTGTCAACTGTTTAAAAATACTTAGAGCTCAACTGGGTCAAAAGCTCAACGTTTTCTTTAAAAAATGAACAAGTTCAAGTGTAGCAACAGTATGAAATTGCAACAACTTCGGTCTCACATCTGATGTACAAGTATGAAATAAACTTCACACAAACTTCATCACATTCTCTTAACAATACAAGCAATTTACAAGCTGAAAACTTGTCATATATTTTTAAAGCAAGCTCTTGTGGCTACAGAAACACCTGTTGAAGCTAAAGACATGCACTGCAGATGTGAAACAGTGCTTGCCCAATTCATGGAAAACCAGCTACTTTTAAATTTCATCTTGCTTCGTTACACATTTAATCTACTGACATGTTGAAACTCATCACAAATATACAGTACCTCAAACATCAACTAGTTCCAGACTAAAGTTTGCAAAATTGTCAGAGGTCACGTATCATGGCATGAGTAATTTACCACAAGACAGTTCACAGTCCACAGTCCTATGCGTAAAGTTTCTCATGCAAGTTTCATGATCCAATAGATATTTGCTGAAATCTAAGTTAAAATCGCATATTCAAATAGTACTCAAACATCAGCTGGTAGAGACACTTTATACAGAACTTGTCTAAAGTCACTCAGCCTGAATGATGTACATGTACACAATTCACAAGCCACAGTCCTATAGAGTCTGCATGCAAAGTTTACAATCTAGCATATTTGCTGAATTCTCCATTTCACACAATTTAAGTAATGGGTTAGACATTGTCAGCCATATAAGTCCATGTTGTAAAGTGATTTAAAGATGCGGATGGTGACAATGACAAAGATGACAAGGTATATGAATATGGCAATCACAGAGATGAAGCTTGGCAGTCACCTTTTGCTGCTGATTAAAATCCAGACTCACCATTCACATGAAGCGTTTGTACTACATGCAGATGTCTGTTAAAATGTTTATGGTGAAAATGCATGTTGTTCAGATGCAGGCTTGGGTGCGGTTTAGGGTTGAAGGAGGCCATCAGGACCCAGAATGTACATGTACGGTAGCAGGACATGACAGAGACTCTGCTGCACGTCTGATATGGTGTACAAGTCTTTCTTGCAATTTTTGTCATTCCACTTGCCACACCGATTGATACCTCTACATATTGCTGCACAACCAGCATAGTTGTTTAGTTGCCTTTTTACCATCCTCTTTGCGTGATGTTCAGATGCATGCTTGGTCCAGGTTTATGGTTGAATGCGGCCATCAGGACCCAGAATGTAGCAGGACATGGCAGAGACTCTGCTGCTTGTCTCACATATGGTGTTGATGTCATTCCAATTATTGCAAGATCGGTCACCCCATGTGCCATTCCTCTCATTTTTAACATTTATTGCTGCACAATCCTGGTTGTTATAGTTGTTTGGCTGTCCTTTTTTCCAGTTGGTATACTGCATTCCATTGACACCTTCAGGATAACACACCCATGTGCCCTCCTTCCTTGCATCATTACAGCCAAGCCAGGCCCTGGGCATGCCTGAATTTCTCATTTCTTCTGCAATGAATTCATTCTCTTCCTCTGACTCAATGACCAACAGCATGCCACCAAGCCCTTGGCAGTATGTGTTTGCATTCTTCCATATCATCTGATTATCTGTGAACTTGTAGCAAGAGGAGCCACGTTCTATCCAACCTGGTTTGCAAATGGCATTTACACCAAGGCAGCCAATGATGACAATTAAGATGACTGATTTGATGTTCTTTGGTTCAATTAAGGATGTCATATTCAGGCTGTTTATTATCAATGCAGTCAATATACGTTTCTCAATCAACTTCAATTTACATGAAGTTCTGTGGACTAAAGTCACTGCTCAGTTTTGCTCAAACACATCAGCTAAAGACCATACACTGCATGTACATGTAGCAGTTCTTATTATCCAGTTAAAAAAAACCAAGATAACAAACACGGATCCAAAGATTGGTATCAAGGAGCAAGGATGCAGAAAGATGGAGCAACTATCTCCTTGCCTCAAGATGGATCGCGCTCCTAGGGGATCTGATCAACAGTCCTTGACAACAGCATCAGGGCGAAAGCCTGTGATGTGATCCAAAGCTTTTCAGTCAATGATGACAATTTAGCAGCCAAGTACTTTAAGAAACCACCAAGCAAACATGCTACAGTTGTATATGGTGTTGAAGACAGTCTGAGACACGACTGAATTCTAAGCAGTCAAATGATGACACGAGGACAGCACCAATTTAGTCAATATGTATATCTGTGGGTAGGCAACGAGCGATGGGGCTTCAAGGAATAAACAAGTCACCAATATACGCTGAAATCGATTGTAAAAATTGGGAATCCCACTGGAAATGTAATATCCTGTCTGCAACAATGGGGGCCGATTAACGATTCAGTAGACCGAGATGGGAAGCTGCCTCAGTGTTTGGGATAATAACTGAACAATGGTGGAAACGTTGCCTTGCTCTGTTGTACATTGGTAAGATATGAAAAGTTAGATGGAGTAATTTGCCTCGTAGTCTTGTAACAACATCATGAGATGATAAACTGTCTAATTGCTTTACAAGTGATATTGGCAGTGGGGACCAGAGGAAATTTCCTACAATGGCAACATGGGTAAAAGAGTAAATTACCAAGCTATATTCTTGCACAACAGACAGATGGAGAATCTAGCGATTTTGTAAACAAAATCACATGATAGAGACAAAACCTTTCTCTAAGTCTTCAATAATTTCTCCCAGTTAGTAAAGTTGTTTTTCTTACTATGGCAACAATAGAAGAAGTAATTTTAAATGCTCCAATCAAACAATTCAAACTGATAATAAAGAAACCTTGCCTAGAGGTCTTGCCAAAAAAAGGAACAACTTTTTAAATTGCTACAGACTTTTGTTCACGAATCACATTTTAGCACAAGAGTCAGTTAGACATGTACATGTACTTCTAAATGTTTATGATAGTATGTGTATGTGGTCTTTCTCCATTTTTTTATAGGTTTATTTGTTTGTCAGTTGTTTGTTTTCCTTTCTAATATTCGGGCTGTTTGTCTGTCTTAGGGTCATCTGTAGATCTGTTGGGTTGCAACTGCCTTGTTGACTTGTTTGTTTCTGTATTTTGCTGGTAGGTTTTTTTTATCACGTTGTCTGAAAGACTCGGAAGCATGTTATGAGCACAGCTACAATGTATGGTGAGCATTACCTTCATGTGCACACATAAATATTCATGAAGTTGACCCTATGTCACAGTACAACAAGACGAGAGGCTGTCTTGATGGTTGCAGACCAGTAAATCGGTCCGAAATTGCCTACGCCGGCCAAATCACGATTTGCATGCTCTCAAATTCTTCAGTATTTGAGCATGCTGTGGGCCATGAAATGGAGGGTTTGTAAAAAATATGGGTGGAAACCGTGCACAGGACTGTGAGCTTGTAGTTCCGTTCAAATTGGATGAAATTGTGGTCCTTAAAGCGCTCTATTTTGCAATGGAGTGTAGGCATCGTTTTTCAAAATGGCGATGAGCTTCAGGACTATTTTCAGGGGTGATCATCTTCAGATAAATTTCTCCTAAAAGTCATCAGTTGACCCCCGAAAATTGAAAAGAAAATGAAAGATGATGAAATAAGCTTTAATTTGATGTGTGTCTCGAACACCTTGGAGAGTTGTGAGTATTTTCCCGAATTTCTGAAGTGGGAGCATTTACCATTGGGGTCTATGGGAGTTTATTTACTGGTCTGCAACCTGATGCGTTGGCTAGTACTTGTAAATGGATGTGAAATGTACGGATTAGGCTATTTGGCATGTGCATGGGCTACATGTATATCCAACCACAGTTACGTTGATCTAGTTGAAACCTTCTTGATAGTGCTGCCAGGGAAAATATATCGTCAGTTTTTTAATATCTCTTGGATTTAGTTGAAGTTCTTCATCTCAGGAATCATTTCTAAGCTTGATGGATTCCGTAGGATTTTACAAGCTTTCAATTGGTTACGTTGGATTCAGCACTTCAGCCTTGGACGATAGAATTCCATTTGAAGAATACCACCATCATCCCTAACGACTCAATTATTATCAAGCACAGTTTGCAAGAAGTCATTTTTAAGCTCAATAAATTTTGTTGATTTATTTGATTTGATTTGAAACATTCAAAATTCAAGGACATTCAACATCTACATTTCACACTGAAATAGATGAGCAATGCTCAACACACAAATTGATCCAGCAATCCCACAGATGGATAAAGAGGTCATACCGTAATGCTGTTTTCTGAAATTGCTTACAAGTTTTTAATTTTTTATAGTTCTTGAAATTGATAATCAGTACAGTATTCTCCACAAAAAGCTTTCACATTTGTGTAAAATCAGAGTTTAAAAGAGTTTTAATGCTAGCTGAGCAACCAATTTTTACCAATGATGCGTTATGAGTAATTTTTCTGATAAATTAATTCTTGTATTGAGCAGCTTTGAGTTGTTAACATTTTTATATACACACACAATAAAAGCACAACACTTTTGTCACAAAGCAAGAAGAAAATATTTTAAATTCTCATTTTCAAAATTCCATGATTACATCTCGGAACAAAAATAATCCAGTGGAGTGATGAGTATTTGAATCAATTAACAGTTAATTTGTCATGTCTCATACATGTAGCAATGAAAAGTCACAATTATATTATATGTCAAAATGTTCATTAAAAGCTTAAAGGGAAGATACAACATTTGCAAACATCACAAAATGAAATGATCAAATTATCACAAATACCTTACTGGATTGTTAAGGAATGACAGTCTAAAGCATCCTGTAAATTCGTGGCTCCTGGTGTGCAGTTATTTTCAAGAAAAATGATATTTTTCCAACGCTGGTCGGCCGACCAGCGTTGGAGAAAACTGGCTTTTTTTGAAAACTGCTCCTACTTTTTCATAATTAGTTATTCCGCGTTTTCTTTGCAATTGCTTACACACCTTTGATGGGGTACAAGCCTGCTAGACTGATTCTCTGACCTTACAATTTCCCAAAGTCTATAAATTGCTCCGTTTCATCTTAAATGGGGTCAGGAAACCAGACTACAAGAACATGGTTGGTTTTCTTGGTTTTTCCAGCATACTTCAAGCCCAAAACGTGAAACAAGTCATTTTAACAATATTTGCTATATAACTTATCCTCCAAATTCATTTATTTCTGAAAATTGCAGCAAAAGCAAATGTTGTACATGTACATTCCCTTTAAGTTTTGATGTAGCATCATACAGTATGTTATTTTCAAAAGTTGAATAGCTTTGTGCTTGTTCGTGGGATAAAAGTAGATCTTTTAGAACATTTATTCAGCATTTATTTTTATTCAATCCGATGCCTCTTTCTCAAGACATTGATAAAAAGTTTCTTGGTGCAGTTTCATGAATTTAAAACTGCCTCTTGCCACATGTACAGAATAAGATATTAACAGGGTGTTTTTAACAACTGTCTTCATCTTAAACCCTTTCAATCAAATTGGTGATTTCTAAACAATTTGAAGAACTTTAAGTCAAGCACTATTTTCATGTTTACTATTTTTGATTGTTTGATTACTGTTTGATTCTACAGCATTCTGGTAAAATACCGGGAAAAAAAGAAGAGATTTAATTCACATAAATCACACTGTGCACTGATGGCGGTACCTTTATACTATTACTGGCAGACAATACCTGCAACAACTCTCATTTTCATAACTAACTTTTGTTCATTTCAAAACAGGTACCAGAGTTATACATACGTAGTATATTGTTCATTAAATTAACTAACACCATACAGCATCACTGCTACATGTATACAAGTATGAAATAAACTTCAAACAAACTTCTTCACATTCTCTTAACAATACAAGCAATTTACAAGCTGAAAACTTGTTATATTTTTAAAGCAAGCTCTTGTGGCTACAGAAACACCTGTTGGAGCTAAAGACATGCACTGCAGATGTGAAACAGTGCTTGCCTGATTTATGAAAAACCAGCTACTTTTAAATTTCATCTTGCTTCATTACACATTTAATCTACTGACATGTTGAAACTCATCACAATTTCAAATATACAGTACCTCAAACACCAACTAGTTCCAGACTAAAGTTTGCAAAATTGTCAGAGGTCACGTATCATGGCATGAGTAATTCACCACAAGACGGTTTAACAGTCCACAGTCCTATGCGTAAAGTTTCTCATCCAAGTTTCATGATCCAATAGATATTTGCTGAAATCTAAGTTTAAATCGCATATATTCAAATATTACTCAAACATCAGCCGGTAGAGACACTTTATACAGAACTTGTCTAAAGTCACTCAGCCTGAAAGATGTACATGTACACAATTCACAAGCCACAGTCCTATAGAGTCTGCATGCAAAGTTTACAATCTAGCATATTTGCTGAATTCTCCATTTTACAAAATTTAAGTAATGGGTTAGACATTGTCAGCCATATAAGTCCACGTTGTAAAGTGATTTAAAGATGCCGGATAGTGACAATGACAAAGATGACAAGGTATATGAATATGGCAATCACAGAGATGAAGCTTGGCAGTCACCTTTTCCTGCTGATTAAAATCCAGACTCACCATTCACATGAAGCGTTTGTACTTCATGCAGATGTCTGTTAAAATGTTTATGGTGAAAATGCATGTTGTTCAGATGCAGGCTTGGGTGCGGTTTAGGGTTGAAGGAGGCAATCAGGACCCAGAATGTACATGTACGATAGCAGGACATGACAGAGACTCTGCTGCACGTCTGATATGGTGTACGATTCTTTCTTGCAATGTTTGTCGTTCTACTTGCCACACCAATTGATACCTCTACATATTGCTGCACAACCAGCATGGTTGATTAGTTGTCTTTTTACCATCCTTCTTTGTGTGATGTTCAGATGCATGCTTGGTCCAGGTTTAGGGTTGAATGCGGCCATCAGGACCCAGGATGTAGCAGGACATGGCAGAGACTCTGCTGCTTGTCTCACATATGGTGTACGAGTCTTTCTGGCATTTTTTGTCACTCCACTTGCCATGCTGATTAATATCAACACGTAGTACTGCATGAAGTACATGTATGAAGGATCATCCATTGTTTCTTCAGGGCAATGTATTTGAATGGCCATTGTGTAAAGTGTAGGAGAGAAGAGATATTTCCAAGTAAACTGTTGAAATTGATGTAAAACCAACAGAACCTGTACGTAGTTGTGAGTCAGTGTCTGGATACAGAAGGGGATTGATGTATGTAGATGCATGCTTGGTCCAGGTTTATGGTTGAATGCGGCCATCAGGACCCAGGATGTAGCAGGACATGGCAGAGACTCTGCTGCTTGTCTCACATATGGTGTACATGTCATTCCAATCATTGCAAGATCGGTCATCCCAGGTGCCATGCCTCTCAGGATACTTGTATATTGCTGCACAGTCCTGGCCATTCCAGTCATTTGGTCGACCTTCTGCCCAGTTCTCATACTGCATGCTCTTGGTACCTTCAGGATAACACACCCATGCGCCCTCCATGCTTATATCATTACAGCCAAGCCAGGTGCTGGACATGCCTGAATTTCTCATTTCTTCAACGATGAATTCATTCTCTTCCTCTGACTCAATGACCAACAGCATGCCACCAAGCCCTTGGCAGTATGTGTTTGCATTCTCCCAGTTTGTGCCATTATCTGTGAACTTGTAGCAAGATGAGCTGTGTTCTATCCAACCTGGTTTGCAAACGGCATTTACACCAAGGCAGCCAATGATGACAATTAAGATGACTGATTTGATGTTCTTTGGTTCAATTAAGGATGTCATATTCAGGCTGTTTATTATCAATGCAGCCAATATACGTTTCTCAATGAACTTCAATTTACATGAAGTTCTGTGGACTAAAGTCACTGCTCAGTTTTGCTCAAACACATCAGCTAAAGACCATACACTGCATGTACATGTAGCAGTTCTTATTATACAGTAAAAAAAAACCCAAGATAACAAACACGGATCCAAAGATTGGTATCAAGGAGCAAGGATGCAGAAAGATGGAGCAACTATCTCCTGGTCTCAAGATGGATCAGGCTCCTAAGGGATCTGAACAACAGTCCTTGACAACAGCATCCTTGGCGAAAGCCTGTGATGTGATCCAAAGCTTTTCAGTCAATGATGACAATTTAGCAGCCAAGTACTTAAAGAAACCACCAAGCAGACATGCTACAGGGGCTTCAAAGAATAAACAAGTCACCAATATACGCTGAAATCGATTGTAAAAATTGGGAATCCCACTGGAAATTTAATATCCTGTCTGCAACAATGGGGGCCGATTAACGATTTAGTGGACCGAGATGGCAAACTGCCTCAGTGTTTGTGATAATAACTGAACAAGGGTGGAAACGTTGCCTTGCTCTATTGTTCATTAGTAAGATATGAAAAGTGGCCTTGTGTCATCGATGCATATTGGCAGTTGGGGCAACTTTCATCACAGCTGCCATGCTGTAGCGGGAAAGAACCTTGCTATGGTCTTGATGCAATATTGAGGAAAAATGCCTCCAAGCATCTCAAAATTGCTCAAAGGAAGCCTTCTTTCCAATGTCTTTTACATGAATAAACAACAACAAAAGGGAAAAACTGGTCGGACCGTCTTCTAACAACACAGATAGATGGAGTAAATTGCCTCAGAGTCTTGTAACAACATCATGAGATGATAAACTGTCTGATTGCATTACAAGAAATATTGGCAGTGGGGACCGGAGGAAATTTCCTACAATGGCAACAAGGGTAAAAGAGCAAATTACCAAGCTATACTCTTGCAAAACAGACAGATGGAGAATCTAGCTATTTTGTAAATAAAATCACATGACAGAGACAAAACCTTTCTCTAAGTCTTCAATAATTTCTCGCAGTTCGTAAAGTTGTTTTTCTTACTATGGCAACAATAGAAGAAGTAATCTTTAATGCTCCAATCAAACAATTCAAACTGATAATAAAGAAACCTTGCCTAGAGGTCTTGCCAAAAAAAGAACAACTTTTTAAATTGCTACGGGGACTTTTGTTCACAAATCACATTTTAGCACAAGAGTCATGTAAACATGTACATAAACATGTACATATGTACTTCTAAATGTTTATGATAGTACATGTATGTATATGTGGTTTTTCTCCACTTTTTGTTATGGGTTTGTTTGTTTGTCAGTCGTTTGTTTTCCTTTCTAATGTTTGGGCTGTTTGTCTGTCTTAGGGCCCTCTGTAGATCTGTTGGGTTGCCACTGCCTTGTCAACTTGTTTGTTTCTGTATTTTGCTGGTAGGGTTTTTTTTATCATGTTGTCTGAAAGACTCAGAACGGGTTATGAGCACAGCTATGGTGAGCATTACCTTCATGTGCACACATAAATATTCATGAAGTTGACCCTACATTGTATGTCACAGTTCAACAAGACGAGAGGCTGTCTTGATGGTTGCAGACCAGTAAATCGGTCCGAAATTGCCTACGCCGGCAAAATCACGATTTGCATGCCCTCAAAATCTTCAGTATTGGAGCATGCTGTGGGCCATGAACTTATGGGTGGAAGCCGTGCACAGGACTGTGAGCTTGTAGTTCCGTTCAATTTGGATGAATTTGGGGCCCTTAAAGCGCTCTATTTTACAATGGAGTGTAGGCATGGTTTTCAAAATGGCGATGGGCTTCAGCATTTTTTTCAGGGGTGATCATCTTCGGATAGAAATTTCTCCTAAAAGTCATCAGTTGACCCCCCGAAAATTGAAAAGAAAATTAAAGATGATGAAATAAGCTTTAATTTGATGTGTGTCTCGAACACCTTGGAGAGTTGTGAGTATTTTTCCCGAATTTCTGAAGTGGGAGCATTTACCATTGGGGTCTATGAAAGTTTATTTACTGGTCTGCAACCTATAATTTAAAAATGGCTCCTTCCATCGTTCATTGTCAAATGTGTGCGTAGGCGCTTTATGTTCCACGACAGAGGATTTTCGGGGGGGGTGGGACCTGGGGGGGGGGCAGCGTTTCAAAAGGGGTTAGCAATGGCGGTTCCGCAACAAATGCGCCCAATATCTGACTGGGGCCGATAGAGGTCGTCCGATCACAGCAATTTCAAGCGAACAAGGGGGGGGGGGGGTAATTTGGGGTTGGTAGGATCAAAAACTCAATTAACTCCCGTTGGGGGCGCCCTACAGCAAGGTAGCCGCAAACAGAGGGCTGATTTTCAGGCCAGAAATCGCAGTCAGAGATTTTTTTCCTCGCAATTTTTTGATGAAATATGAGTCATCCATCCTTCCTCGTTCCTTACAAGTGGTTTGGAGGAATTTTTCAAAACCTCGCTTCTTTATATGTTGCAGACCAGTAAATCGGTTCGAAATTGCCTACGCCGGCCAAATCACGATTTGCATGCCCTCAAAATCTTCAGTATTTGAGCATGCTGTGGGCCATGAACTTGAGGGTTTGTAAAAAATATGGGTGGAAGCCGTGCACAGGACTGTGAACTTGTAGTTCAGTTCAAGTTGGATGAAATTGGGTCCCTTAAAAGCGCTCTATTTTGCAATGGAGTGTAGGCATCGTTTTTCAAAATGGCGATGGGCTTCAGGACTATTTTCAGGGCTGATCATCTTCGGATAGAAATTTCTCCTAAAAGTCATCAGTTGACCCCCGAAAATTTAAAAGAAAATGAATGATGGAAGTCTGGGGTCTATGGAAGTTTATTTACTGGTCTGCAACCTGATGCGTTGGCTAGTACTTGTAAATGGATGTGAAATGTACGGATTAGGCTATTTGGCATGTGCATGGGCTATGCAACCACAATTACGTAGATCTAGTTGAAACCTTTTGATAGTGCTGCCAGGGAAAATATATCATCAGTCTTTTAATATCTCTTGGATTTAGTTGAAGTGCTTAATCTCAGGAATCATTCCTAAGCTTGATGGATTCTATAGGATTTTACAAGCTTTCAATTGGTTACGTTGGATTCAGCACTTCAGCCTTGGACGATAGAATTCCATTTGAAGAATACCACCATCATCCCTAACGGCTCAATTATTATCAAGCACAGTTTGCAAGAAGTCATTTTTCAGCTCAATAAATTTTGTTGATTTATTTGATTTGATTTGAAACATTCAAAATTCAAGTACATTCAACATCTACATTTCACATTGAAATAGATGAGCAATGCTCAACACACCAATTGATCCATCGATCCCACAGATGGATAAAGAGGGCATACTGTTATGCTGTTTTATGAAATTGTTTACAAGTTTTTAATTTTTTATAGTTCTTGAAATTGATAATCAGTACAGTATTCTCCACAGAAAGCTTTCACATTTGTGTAAAATCAGAGTTTAAAATGAGTTTTAATGCTAGCTGAGCAACCAATTTTTACCAATGATGCGTTATGAGTAATTTTTCTGATAAATTAATTCTTGTATTGAGCAGCTTTGAGTTGTTATCATTTTTATATACACACACAATAAAAGCACAACACTTTTGTCACAAAGCAAGAAGAAAATATTTTAAATTCTCATTTTCAAAATTCCATGATTACATCTCGGAACAAAAATAATCCAGTGGAGTGATGAGTATTTGAATCAATTAACAGTTAATTTGTCATGTCTCATAGCAATGAAAAGTCACAATTATATTATATGTGAAAAAGTTCATTAAAAGCTTAAAGGGAAGATACAACATTTGCAAACATCACAAAATGAAATGATCAAATTATCACAAAATGCCTTACTGGATTGTTAGGGAATGACAGTCTAAAGCATCCTGTAAAATCGTGGCTCCTGGTGTGCAGTTATTTTCAAGAAAAACTATATTTTTCCAATGCTGGTCGGCCGACCAGCGTTGGAGAAAACTGGCTTTTTTTTAAAACTGCTCCTACTTTTTCATAATTAGTTATTCCGCGTTTTCTTTGCAATTGATTACACACCTTTGATGGGGTACAAGCCTGCTAGACTGATTCTCTGACCTTACAATTCCCCCCAGTCTATAAATTGCTCCGTTTCATCTTAAGTGGGGTCAGGAAACCAGACTACAAGAACATGATTGGTTTTCTTGGTTTTTCCAGCATACTTCAAGCCCAAAACGTGAAACAAGTCATTTTAACAATATTTGCTATATAACTTATCCTCCAAATTCATTTATTTCTGAAAATTGCAGCAAAAGCAAATGTTGTACATGTACATTCCCTTTAAGTTTTGATGTAGCATCATACAGTATGTAATTTTCAAAAGTTGAATAGCTTTGTGCTTGTTCGTGGGATAAAAGTAGATCTTTTAGAACATTTATTCAGCATTTATTTTTATTCAATCCGATGCCTCTTTCTCAAGACATTGATAAAAAGTTTCTTGGTGCAGTTTCATGAATTTAAAACTGCCTCTTGCCACATGTACAGAATAAGATATTAACAGGGTGTTTTTAACAACTGCCTTCATCTTAAACCCTTTCAATCAAATTGGTGATTTCTAAACAATTTGAAGAACTTTAAGTCCAGCACTATTTTCATGTTTACTATTTTTGATTGTTTGATTACTGTTTGATTCTACAGCATTCTGGTAAAATACCGGGAAAAAAAGAAGAGATTTAATTCACATAAATCACACTGTGAACTGATGGCGGTACCTTTATACTATTACTGGCAGACAATACCTGCAACAACTCTCATTTTCATAATTAACTTTTGTTCATTTCAAAACAGGTACCAGAGTTATACATACGTAGTATATTGTTCATTAAATTAACTAACACCATACAGCATCACTGCTACATGTATACAAGTATGAAATAAACTTCAAACAAACTTCTTCACATTCTCTTAACAATACAAGCAATTTACATGCTGAAAACTTGTTATATTTTTAAAGCAAGCTCTTGTGGCTACAGAAACACCTGTTGGAGCTAAAGACATGCACTGCAGATGTGAAACAGTGCTTGCCTGATTTATGAAAAACCAGCTACTTTTAAATTTCATCTTGCTTCATTACACATTTAATCTACTGACATGTTGAAACTCATCACAATTTCAAATATACAGTACCTCAAACACCAACTAGTTCCAGACTAAAGTTTGCAAAATTGTCAGAGGTCACGTATCATGGCATGAGTAATTCACCACAAGACGGTTTAACAGTCCACAGTCCTATGCGTAAAGTTTCTCATCCAAGTTTCATGATCCAATAGATATTTGCTGAAATCTAAGTTTAAATCGCATATATTCAAATATTACTCAAACATCAGCCGGTAGAGACACTTTAAATACAGAACTCATCTAAAGTCACTCAGCCTGAATGATGTACATGTACACAATTCACAAGCCCCAGTCCTATAGAGTCTGCATGCAAAGTTTACAATCTAGCATATTTGCTGAATTCTCCATTTTACACAATTTAAGTAATGGGTTAGACATTGTCAGCCATATAAGTCCACGTTGTAAAGTGATTTAAAGATGCCGGATGGTGACAATTACAAAGATGACAAGGTGTATGAATATGGCAATCACAGAGATAAAGCTTGGCAGTCACCTTTTCCTGCTGATTAAAATCCAGACTCACCATTCACATGAAGCTTTTGTAGGGCCTACTACATGCAGATGTCTGTTAAAATGTTTATGGTTAAAATGCATGTTGCTCAGATGCAGGCTTGGGTGCGGTTTAGGGTTGAAGGAAGCCATCAGGACCCAGAATGAACGGTGGCAGGGCATGACAGAGACTCTGCTGCACGTCTGATATGGTGTACAAGTCTTTCTTGCAAATTTTGTCATTTCACTTGCCACACCAATTGATACCTCTACATATTGCTGCACAACCAGCATAGTTGTTAAGTTGTCTTTTTACCATCCTTCTTTGCGTGATGTTCAGATGCATGCTTGGTCCTGGTTTATGGTTGCATGCGGCCATCAGGACCCAGAATGTAGCAGGACATGGCAGAGACTCTGCTGCTTGTCTCACATATGGTGTACGAGTCTTTCGTGCAATCTTTGTCATTCCACTTGTGTTGCTTAGCAATATCTATTGTTGCATAATTCTGGTCATTCCAGTCGTTTGGTTCTCCTTCTGCCCAGTTCTCATACTGCATTCCCTTGACACCTTCAGGATAACACACCCATGTGCCCTCCTTGCTTATATCATTACAACCAAGCCAGGCCTTGTTCATGCCTGAATTTCTCATTTCTTTAGCAATGAATTCATTCTCTTCTTTTGACTCAATGACCAACAGCATGCCACCAAGCCCTTGGCAGTATGTGTTTGCATTCTCCCAGTCTGTGTGATTATCTGTGAACTTGTAGCAAGATGAGCAATGTTCTATCCAACCTGGTTTACAAACAGCACTTACACCAGCATGACACAAGAACAAAATAAAGACAACAACGAGAGTTGTCTTTGAGTGTAGGAGTTCCAACAATACCCCCATCTTCAGTGTGGTTATCACAGCATGGTTCTGAACATCCTTCCACTATGGAACCAACTGCCGCAATCACACACTGTGCTCAACTGATATCTGGTTTGCAGCACGTCAGCTGCCTTTTCAAGCTTGGTAAATTTAATATCGTCTGAGATAGACTTCCGTTTAACAACACTGGTAGGTAGAGTGACAATGGACTCAGTAACGTTATTGCATTAGAGAGATGACAGCGTGTCAAGATTTAGACAATCAAGACTTCTACCATCAACAACTACTCATCATTTCTGACTGACAGACTCAATTACACATCAGTTGCTGAGCCTGTCATAGTTTCAAGGTTCTCCTCAATTTATCAAGTCAATATTGCCTCCTGACTTGATTAGAGATGACATGATCCTGTTTTGCATCATAGCAGAGTTTGCTAAAGCAACAAAATATGGACTGTTTCAGTCAATTTCTTCTATGAAGTTTTATTAGTGCCTGAACTGTTGAGTGTGTTTATCCTTCGTCATCAGATACAAATCAATAGACTACCATCAATCTTTGATGGCAGATGACATGTGATCAAATTTTGCATCAAACCGAACTTCGCTGAAGCAACAACATCCACGCTGTTGAAGTTAGTTTTTTTGTTTTCTCACTTAGCTTTCATTCTTGAGCAAAGTTCCTACTGAACTGTTCATTGCCCATATTATTACAACTCAATGTTCTTGTGTGTTTCAGTTTTGTCAGAATGTTATGAGCAAGAGCAGCCAAAATTACAGAATCCAGAATAAAGAGTTTTTTGTCCATTCAGTAAAACATGTATGAAGGATCATCCATTGTTTCTCCAGGGCAATGTATAATTCAAATGAATGGCCATTGTGTTAAGTGTAGGAGAAAAGAGATATTTCCAAGTAAACTGTTAAAATTGATGTAAAACCAACAGAACCTGTACGTAGTTGTGAGTCAGTGTCTGGATACAGAAGGGGATTGATGTATGTAGATGCAGGCTTGGCCCAGGTTTATGGTTGAATGCGGCCATCAGGACCCAGGATGTAGCAGGACGTGGCAGAGACTCTGCTGCTTGTCTCACATATGGTGTACATGTCATTCCACTCATTGCAAGATATGTCATCCCAGGTGCCATGCCTCTCAGAATACTTGTATATTGCTGCACAGTCCTGGCCATTCCAGTCATTTGGTCGACCTTCTGCCCAGTTCTCATACTGCATGCTCTTGACACCTTCAGGATAACACACCCATGCGCCCTCCATGCTTATATCATTACAGCCAAGCCAGGTGCTGGACATGCCTGAATTTCTCATTTCTTCTGCAATGAATTCATTCTCTCCCTCTGACTCAATGACCAACAGCATGCCACCAAGCCCTTGGCAGTATGTGTTTGCATTCTCCCAGTTTGTGCCATTATCTGTGAACTTGTAGCAAGATGAGCTGTGTTCTATCCAACCTGGTTTGCAAACGGCATTTACACCAAGGCAGCCAATGATGACAATTAAGATGACTGATTTGATGTTCTTTGGTTCAATTAAGGATGTCATATTCAGGCTGTTTATTATCAATGCAGTCAATATACGTTTCTCAATGAACTTCAATTTACATGAAGTTCTGTGGACTAAAGTCACTGCTCAGTTTTGCTCAAACACATCAGCTAAAGACCATACACTGCATGTACATGTAGCAGTTCTTATTATACAGTAAAAAAAAAAAACCCAAGATAACAAACACGGATCCAAAGATTGGTATCAAGGAGCAAGGATGCAGAAAGATGGAGCAACTATCTCCTGGTCTCAAGATGGATCAGGCTCCTAAGGGATCTGATCAACAGTCCTTGACAACAGCATCATGGCAAGAAAGCTTGTGATGTGATCCAAAGCTTTTCAGTCAATGATGACAATTTAGCAGCCAAGTACTTAAAGAAACCACCAAGCAGACATGCTACAGGGGCTTCAAAGAATAAACAAGTCACCAATATACGCTGAAATCGATTGTAAAAATTGGGAATCCCACTGGAAATTTAATATCCTGTCTGCAACAATGGGGGCCGATTAACGATTTAGTGGACCGAGATGGCAAACTGCCTCAGTGTTTGTGATAATAACTGAACAAGGGTGGAAACGTTGCATTGCTCTATTGTTCATTAGTAAGATATGAAAAGTGGCCTTGTGTCATCGATGCATATTGGCAGTTGGGGCAACTTTCATCACAGCTGCCATGCTGTAGCGGGAAAGAACCTTGCTATGGTCTTGATGCAATATTGAGGAAAAATGCCTCCAAGCATCTCAAAATTGCTCAATGGAAGCCTTTTTTCCCAATGTCTTATACATGAATAAACAACGACACAAGGGAAAAACTGGCCGGACTGTCTTCTAACAACACAGATAGATGGAGTTAATTGCCTCAGAGTCTTGTAACAACATCATGAGATGATAAACTGTCTAATTGCATTACAAGAAATATTGGCAGTGGGGACCGGAGGAAATTTCCTACAATGGCAACAAGGGTAAAAGAGCAAATTACCAAGCTATACTCTTGCAAAACAGACAGATGGAGAATCTAGCTATTTTGTAAATAAAATCACATGATAGAGACAAAACCTTTCTCTAAGTCTTCAATAATTTCTCAAAGTTAGTAAAGATGTTTTTCTTACTATGGCAACAATAGAAGAAGTAATTTTAAATGCTCCAATCAAACAATTCAAACTGATAATAAAGAAACCTTGCCTAGAGGTCTTGCCAAAAAAAGAACAACTTTTCAAATTGCTACAGACTTATGTTCACAAATCACATTTTAGCACAAGAGTCATGTAAACATGTACATAAACATGTACATGTACTTCTAAATGTTTATGATAGTACAATGTACATGTATGTATATATGTGGTTTTTCTCCATTTTTTGTTATGGGTTTGTTTGTTTGTCAGTCGTTTGTTTTCCTTTCTAATGTTCGGGCTGTTTGTCTGTCTTAGGGTCATCTGTAGATCTGTTGGGTTGGCACTGCCTTGTCAACTTGTTTGTTTCTGTATTTTGCTGGTAGGTTTTTTTTTATCATGTTGTATGAAATACTCAGAAGCATGTTATGAGCACAGCTATGGTGAGCATTACCTTCATGTGCACACATAAATATTCATGAAGTTGACCCTACATTGTATGTCACAGTTCAACAAGACGAGAGGCTGTCTTGATGGTTGCAGACCAGTAAATCGGTCCGAAATTGCCTACGCCGGCAAAATCACGATTTGCATGCCCTCAAAATCTTCAGTATTGGAGCATGCTGTGGGCCATGAACTTATGGGTGGAAGCCGTGCACAGGACTGTGAGCTTGTAGTTCCGTTCAATTTGGATGAATTTGGGGCCCTTAAAGCGCTCTATTTTACAATGGAGTGTAGGCATGGTTTTCAAAATGGCGATGGGCTTCAGGACTTTTTTCAGGGGTGATCATCTTCGGATAGAAATTTCTCCTAAAAGTCATCAGTTGACCCCCCGAAAATTGAAAAGAAAATTAAAGATGATGAAATAAGCTTTAATTTGATGTGTGTCTCGAACACCTTGGAGAGTTGCGAGTATTTTTCCCGAATTTCTGAAGTGGGAGCATTTACCATTGGGGTCTATGAAAGTTTATTTACTGGTCTGCAACGTATAATTTAAAAATGGCTCCTTCCATCGTTCATTGTCAAATGTGTGCGTAGGCGCTTTATGTTCCACGACAGAGGATTTTCGGGGGGTGGGACCTGGGGGGGGGGGCAGCGTTTCAAAAGGGGTTAGCAATGGCGGTTCCGCAACAAATGCGCCCAATATCTGACTGGGGTTGATAGAGGTCGTCCGATCACAGCAATTTCAAGCGAACAAGGGGGGGGGGTAATTTGGGGTTGGTAGGATCAAAAACTCAATTAACTCCCGTTGGGGGCGCCCTACAGCAAGGTAGCCGCAAACAGAGGGCTGATTTTCAGGCCAGAAATCGCAGTCAGAGATTTTTTTCCTCGCAATGTTTTGATGAAATATGAGTCATCCATCCTTCCTCGTTCCTTACAAGTGGTTTGGAGGAATTTTTCAAAACCTCGCTTCTTTATATGTTGCAGACCAGTAAATCGGTTCGAAATTGCCTACGCCGGCCAAATCACGATTTGCATGCCCTCAAAATCTTCAGTATTTGAGCATGCTGTGGGCCATGAACTTGAGGGTTTGTAAAAAATATGGGTGGAAGCCGTGCACAGGACTGTGAGCTTGCAGTTCCGTTCAATTTGGATGAAATTGGGGCCCTTAAAGCGCTCTATTTTGCAATGGAGTGTAGGCATCGTTTTTCAAAATGGCGATGGGCTTCAGGACTATTTTCAGGGGTGATCATCTTCGGATAGAAATTTCTCCTAAAAGTCATCAGTTGACCCCCGAAAATTGAAAAGAAAATGAAAGATGATATAATAAGCTTTAATTTGATGTGTGTCTCGAACACCTTGGAGAGTTGTGAGTATTTTTCTCGAATTTCTGAAGTGGGAGCATTTACCATTGGGGTCTATGGAAGTTTATTTACTGGTCTGCAACCTGATGCGTTGGCTAGTACTTGTACATTGTAAATGGATGTGAAATGTACGGATTAGGCTATTTGGCATGTGCACGGGCTATACCCAACCACAGTTACGTTGATCTAGTTGAAACCTTTTTGATAGTGCTGCCAGGGAAAATATATCATCAGTCTTTTAAATATCTCTTGGATTTAGTTGAAGTTCTTAATCTAAGGAATCATTCCTAAGCTTGATGGATTCTATAGGATTTTACAAGCTTTCAATTGGTTACGTTGGATTCAGCACTTCAGCCTTGGACGATAGAATTCCATTTGAAGAATACCACCATCATCCCTAACGGCTCAATTATTATCAAGCACAGTTTGCAAGAAGTCATTTTTAAGCTCAATAAATTTTGTTGATTTATTTGATTTGATTTGAAACATTCAAAATTCAAGGACATTCAACATCTACATTTCACATTGAAATAGATGAGCAATGCTCAACACACAAATTGATCCAGCAATCCCACAGATGGATAAAGAGGCCATACCGTAATGCTGTTTTCTGAAATTGTTTACAAGTTTTTAATTTTTTATAGTTCTTGAAATTGATAATCAGTACAGTATTCTCCACAAAAAGCTTTCACATTTGTGTAAAATCAGAGTTTAAAAGAGTTTTAATGCTAGCTGAGCAACCAATTTTTACCAATGATGCGTTATGAGTAATTTTTCTGATAAATTAATTCTTGTATTGAGCAGCTTTGAGTTGTTAACATTTTTATATACACACACAATAAAAGCACAACACTTTTGTCACAAAGCAAGAAGAAAATATTTTAAATTCTCATTTTCAAAATTCCATGATTACATCTCGGAATAAAAATAATCCAGTGGAGTGATGAGTATTTGAATCAATTAACAGTTAATTTGTCACGTCTCATAGAAATGAAAAGTCACAATTATATTATATGTGAAAATGTTCATTAAAAGCTTAAATTTTGATGTCATAGGCATCATACAGTGTGTTATTTTCAAAAGTTGAATAGCTTTGTGCTTGTTCGTGGGATAAAAGTAGATCTTTTAGAAAATTTATTCAGCATTTATTTTTATTCAATCCGATGCCTCTTTCTCAAGACATTGATAAAAAGTTTCTTGGTGCAGTTTCATGAATTTAAAACTGCCTCCTGCCACATGTACAGAATAAGATATTAACAGGGTGTTTTTAACAACTGCCTTCATATTAAACCCTTTCAATCAAATTGGTGATTTCTAAACAATTTGAAGAACTTTAAGTCCAGCACTATTTTCATGTTTACTATTTTTGATTGTTTGATTACTGTTTGATTCTACAGGATTCTGGTAAAATACCGGGGAAAAAAGAAGAGATTTAATTCACATAAATCACACTGTGCACTGATGGCGGTACCTTTATACTATTACTGGCAGACAATACCTGCAACAACTCTAATTTTCACAATTAACTTTTGTTAATTTCAAAACAGGTACCAGAATTATACATTAAATTAACTAACACCATACAACATCACTGCTACATGTATACAGCAAGCATACATTACACATGATTTAAAGTAAATTAACATTGCCTATTCAAAGCTAGTCTATTTCCAACTATGATTATTCACACAAATTGTGTAAATCAGCCAAAATACCGGTAGTATAAGCCAGGTGTTTTTTGGGTTGCATGGGCAGTGTATTTCATTTAAATTCCATGACTTCACACATTAGTGCTCCTAACCATAACTTTACGACAAGCATACCGGTACATGTACATGTACACACTTGTACATGTAAATCACACAAAATGTGAAGTAAATATCCATGCCAATTCTCCAACACTAGTCTAAATTAACTATGATTATTCACATTTAGGCACGCTAAACATCGGTGACATGTGCCAAGTATTTCATTTTAAATCCATGTGCCTAGATGATGACATCACATTTGTTAGGTGTTCTGGTAAAAATGAGATGGAACTGGGCACAGTGAAGAAAAATGAAAAAATTTGATTTTCAGATATATTGATATTTGTCATCTTTCATATGTCTACATGTACTCAAATATTTTTTTTTTTAAATAGCATAAAAATCGTGGAATATGTGTTGTAATAAATCACAATTGGCATCTTTCATTTTCAAGAATACATAACGTGAAACTTTAAAGGCCTTTTTTTTACTTGATTGACATGTTGAAAAAGCGAACTTTAAACAGCCATAACTTGTCAATGGAATGTCTGATTGAAGTGCAACAAACAGTATTGTAAAGAGAACTTTATTCTCTTTCCTAACACGCCCACACCCTCATTTCAACCTCTGCCCAGTTCTGTCTCATTGTGCCAGAACGCCTCACACATCAAAACTCATGACAGTCGCCAGATACTGGCCGACAGTTTGACCTGTCATTTTAAACGCCATTAGGTAACACTGTGAAATCCAGTTCACTTCCAAAGTGGTGTGCACAAATCATGAAGTGATCCTCTTCATGGATTTCAGTCAGAAAGCAGTTTTGTCTCGGCAACTGTCAAATCAGATCAGACTGGTTCACACTATGACTCATATGGAATCAGAGTTAAAGTACCGATTTGTGGGATGATACCTGTAGCTGAGATGATACGAGTTTCTCCAGTCACTACTGAAGCAATGTTATGTCTGAAGGAAAACTGCCACGGTAGCATTACGTTTTAAGTCATCTACATGTACATGAAAATACAGCATCGTCCACATAGTTAAGATGCCTGTGCATGCAGGTCTACATGTGTCAATGAAGGGGTACATGTGTAGGTGTGCTGTTTAGAAACCTAGAGGTTTAAGGGTCAAAGCGGCCATCAGGACCCAGAATGTAGCAGGACATGGCAGAGACTCTGCTGCTTGTCTCGCATACGGTGTACACATACCTGTTGATACATCGTTTGTCTTTCCACTTGCCATGCCTTATTATGCCACAATGCTGATCACCACAATTGTTATCTGGTTGTCCCTCTGCCCAGTTGGTATACTGCATTCTCTTGAAACCTTCAGGATAACACACCCATGTGCCCTCCATGCTTGCATCATTACAGCCAAGCCAGGCCCTGGGCATGCCTGAATTTCTCATTTCTTCAGCAATGAATTCATTCTCTTCCTCTGACTCAATGACCAACAGCATGCCACCAAGCCCTTGGCAGTATGTGTTTGCATTCTCCCAGTCTGTGTGATTATCTGTGAACTTGTAGCAAGATGAGCAATGTTCTTTCCAACCTGGTTTACAAAAAGCATTCACACCAGCATGACACAAGAACAAAATAAAGACAACAACGAGAGTTGTCTTTAGGTGTAGGAGTTCCAACAATATCCCCATCTTCAGTGTGGTTATCACAGCATGGTTCTGAACATCCTTCCACTATGGAACCAACTGCTGCAATCACACACTGTGCTCAACTGATATCTGGTTTGGAGCACGTCAGCTGCCTTATCAAGCTTGGGAAATTTAATATCATCTGAGATAGACTTCCGTTTAACAACACTGGTAGCCTGGTAGGTAGAGTGACAATGGACTCAGTAGCGTTATTGCATTACAGAGATGACAGCGTGTCAAGATTTAGACAATCAAGACTTCTACCATCAACAACCACTCATCATTTCTAACTGACAGACCCAATTACACATCAGTTGCTGAGCCTGTCATAGTTTCAAGGTTTTCCTCAATTTATCAAGTCAATATTGCCTCCTGACTTGATGAGAGATGATACGTGATCCAGTTTTTCATTACAGCAAAGTTTGCTGAAGCCACAAAAACAGAATTGGCTTTTTTCACTCTCTTAACTTGCCTCAATGATTGGCTTTGAAGAGTTGAGTACATGTACCGTACATGTAGGTCCATTCTTGGCCAGGAGATTGAAGACAATATTGCCTACTAACACTGATGGTAGATGACTGCTGCCTATACTATGGCATCACACAGTGTCTGTGTGTGTTGCCAGCTACTGGTCCTCAGTTTTGTCAGCTTCTATTCCACAGATATCCAAGCAAAAAGCAACCAAAACTGCCATGTTCAAAATCATCCACAGATGGCTTCATTGTTTGTTCCTCCAGTTCAAAGTATCTATCAAATAAGTTTAAGTGGTAAAAGAGCCGAGAGATTTACAAGTAAACAGTTGAAACAAATAAGATTGATGTCAATTCCTTTATAATGTACGGTTTACTTAGACTTTGTACGTGAATATGGTGTTTTACCAGCAGAGCCTGTATGTGAATCCAGTGTCTGCATGAACACAGAAGGGGATCTGTGAGTTATTTAGACGCAGGCATGGGTGAGGTTTAGGGTTGAATGCGGCCATCAAGACCAAGAACGTAGCAGGACAAGGCAGAGACTGGACTGATGCTTGACTCACATATGGTGTACATCTCATTCCTGGAGCCACAAACCCTGTCATTCCACTTGCCTTGCCTCTTGTTTATTACTACACAATCCTGGTCTTCTATGTTGTTTGGTTTTCCTCCATCCCAGTTTTTATACCGCATTTTCTTGAGACCTTCAGGATAACACACCCATGTGCCCTCCATGCTTATATCATTACAACCAAGCCAGGCCCTGGACATGCCTGAATTTCTCATTTCTTCAGCAATGAATTCATTCTCTTCCTCTGACTCAATGACCAACAACATGCCACCAAGCCTTTGGCAGTATGTGTTTGCATTCTCCCAATTCTTTTGAATATCTGTGAACTTGTAGCAAGATGAGCTATGTTCTTTCCAACCTGGTTTGCAAACAGCACTTACCCCAAGGCAGCCAATGATGACAATTAAGATAGCTGGTTTGATGTTCTTTGGTTCATTTAACGCCATCGTGTTCAGGCTGTTTATCATCAACGCAATTGAATTAACATACAAGTTTCTCAATCAACTTCAATTTACATGACGTTCTGTGGACTTAAGTCATTTGTTCAGTTTTACTCAAACATATCAGCTGAAGACCAAACACTGTATGTACATGAAGCAGTTCTTATTATCCAGTAAAAAAAAACAAGATAACATACAAAGATCCAAAGATTGGTATCATGAAGGAGCAAGAATGCAAGAAAATGCAGCAACTATCTCCTTGTCTCAAGATGGATCACGTTCCTAAGGGATCTGATCAACAGTCCTTGCACAACAGCATCAGGGCGAAAGCCTGTGATGTGATCCAAAGCTTTTCAGTCAATGATGACAATTTAGCAGCCAAGTACTTTAAGAAACCACCAAGCAAACATGCTACAGTTGTACATGGTGTTGAAGACAGTCTGTGACACGACTGAATTCTAAGCAGTCAAATGATGAAATGAGGACAGCACCAATTTAGTCAATATGTCTATCTGTGGGTAGGCAACGAGCGATGGGGCTTCAAAGAATAAACAAGTCACCAGTAAACGCTGATGTTGATTCCAATAACAAGAAATCTCACTGGAAAGTTAATTTCCTGTCTTCAACAATAGGGGCCAATTAACAATTCAGCAGACCGAGATGGAAAACTGCCTCAGTGTATTGTGACAATAACTGAACAACCGTGAACACGTTTCCTTGCTCTGTGGTATGAAAAGTGCTCCATTGTCATCGATAAATATTGGCAGTTTGGACAATTTTCCTCGCTACACTTTTATTGCCACATGAACAATACAGAACCTTGCTACGGAATATTGTAATAATATGGATGAAAACTTTCTGCAAGCGTTCAACAATTTGATGAAAGGAAGCCTCTTTTCTGTCCTTAAAGGTTTTACTGTACAAATGAGAAATTTCTCTAAAAGAAAAATTAATATCCTGTCTGCAACAATAGAGGACCCATAAACGATTTCAGAAGACTGAGATGGCAAGCTGCCTCAGTGTATTGTGACAATAACTGAACGACAGTGAACACGCTGCCTCTCTCTGTTGTAACAACATCGCTGTTAGATGAAAAAGTGCCCTATTGTCTTTTCCTTGTTTTACTGTCACTGCCATTCAAACAATACAGACACTTCAACTACAGAATCTTGTAAACAATATTGATGAAAACCAGCAGCAATCATGTAACCATTTGCTGAAGGGGCCTTTTCCACTGTCTCATTTTCATTAAAAATTAAGATGGCAAACAAATGGCCAGACTCTCTTCTAACAATACAGATAGATGCAGTAAATTGCCTTGTAGTCTTGTATTAACATCATGAGATGTAGATAAAAACTACTTCATTATGTTTAAGAAATATTGGCAATAGGGGAGGGGGGCGGAGGAAATTTCCTTGCTAGGGCAACAAGCACAGAGTAGCAAACTACCAAGCTATATTCTAGCAAAATGACAAATGCATAAACTAAGAGTCAATATCACATTAAGAGGTAAAACCTGCCTCAAAGTCTGCAATAAACACTTGAAGTTAGTGCAGTGTCCCTCACTATGGCAATAATAGAAGATTTATTCTTAAATGCTCTTGTACAACTGCACAGACTTATACTAAAGAAACCTTACCTCGAGGTCTTGGAAGAAAAACCCAAGCAAATTTTCAAATCACTGCTAATTTTTTTAAACACACCAATGACATTTTAGTACGAGTGTCATGTGTCTATTTCTACATTTTTATGATGTGCAGTCCTTCTCCATGAGTCGTAATGGGTTTGCTTTTTTCAGTTGTTTGTCCATTGATTGCACCAGTTGTCTGTCTGTTCTTTGTGTGCTTGTTTGTTTTAGTATTTTCTTTGAAGGTTTTTTTGTTTATTTGTGTAACTGGTAGATCCTCAGGGAGGCCATGGGAGCCATGGTACATGAGCACAGCTAATTTTATTCTGACTGTGCCGAAATCCGCAGTGTCTTTGCTTGAGCATCAAGCGCCATTGGCCATGACTGAATATTTGACCTTCCATTCCATCAAAATATTTGAATATTCTGTTATGCCATGGAGACTTCATCATAGTTTACGACAATATATCATTAAAAACAATGCTAATTTTGCACATTCATGAATTTTATTCCTCAAAAATCTATTTCCATATTCTGGGATGGATTCTATGTTTTATTGTTGAGCATATGCATCAGCTGCCTTTAAGAGTCTGGCAACAACTTGGAATAAGCTTTCAGAATTCAATTTAACTTTTCCCCCCTATTTATTTGATTGAATTTCACCTCTCAATATTTCAATCCAAAAAACAAATATTCAAATATTCAATAATTATATTAACAATAATAATAATAGTGGGTATTTATAAAGCACACGTATCCACCAGGACTGGTGCTCAAGGCGCTACATCATTATTACCCCTGCTCATTGGGCCAATGAAGCATTTCAAATACCATCTCAGCTCCCTGGGGAGTATACGGCTGGATGCTGCCATTTCAGTGCAAAGCAGCTTAAATCAGTCTTAATTAGCATCTCTGCCCTCACAGATACCCATTTACTCCTGGGTGGAGTGAAGCAATGAGTGACAAAGTGCCTTGCCCAAGGGCACACGCACCATGACCCCAGGCTGGACTCGAACCCACAACCTGCAGCTCTACCCACAGACCACGAATCCAATGCCCTTAACAACGAGGCCACGGCACTCCACTCAAATATCTGGCACAGCACTAATCGGCCAGTGGTCTCCCCCAACTCTCCCTTTCAAACCGTTGAGGGGGTACTTGTGCACAGATTCCACAGAACTTGGGTAAATGGACATGTGCACTGCATATTGATGTTTGAATGTATAGGCTCCATAAATGCAACACAGCATGGCTGACATAAAACACTTACCTCTTTTTCTCCGCCATCTAATTTTCTCTTTTTATGAGCATGCTTGTGATGTTTCTTGACTCTGCGCTTACATTCTAGGTCTTCCAGAAGGACCAGCAATGGCTGATGGGACGAGCTGGGGCTTGAGCCTGGATTTCAAGAATCAACAAATAAGAACTTCTTAAAGATTGTTAATGTCAGGGCAGGTACAATTTTATTCAAAGTTTCGACTAGCCCCCAAGAGGAAAGCATTGACAATCAGGGAAACGGACCAATTCCAGATTGATTTCCACTTCTATATAATCTATAATTAAGTTCTTTCTTATGGGTTAAAAACACAGACTTCATATTGATGAATGGCAGACAACGTTCTAGTCTGGTATCCAGTCCGAGCAACTGAGTGGTTTCTCTTTCAAAAGAAAGCTCTACTCCCATTTTGTATGGAATATATTTTCAATTCACCTGTAAACTGTTCAGGATCAACGGCACTCATGAAGCCATGGACAGCCTGAAGAAACAAGACCATCGTTGAGTAGAAGACAGGCTTTCTGATGTTAGCAGCTTCACTTGTCTTGGCCCGGCTGTAATGCTCATTGATATGCAGCCAGTTTACTGTAAATGGCCTGCAGATTAAAGAATGATGACCTTTTTAGAAGTGGCCTTAGACTAACTAGAGTGATCACTGACATCTATGCTTGCATCTTAAAGGTTACAAAGAGACAGGCTTTCAAGAGCTAGAACCTTTAGTTGCATCATCAGTGGCTTTAGCCCGACTGTTATGCGCATTGATGCTGTATGTTGCCAGTTCCCTGTGACTGGCCTGAAGATTAGTAAAACGAATGACGTTATTTGACAGGTTGACTGCAATGAGAAGTTAACAGAGACATAGGTTGTTCGAGTGGCTCAGAATGCTGATATGAGTTCAGCCACTATCAACTGCAAATGTTGCTCCCATGAAGAGCAAATTAGTCAAAATATTTCTGGACAGAAACACAAATCAAGTCAGTTCTCTCAGTTATGAATTCCCTTTGCTCTACTCTGTCCCAATAAAAAAACAAAAAATATTTCCTTAAAGACGATGCACATGCCACGGATTGAAACGGTCAGATAAGTAAACAAACACCTTCCAATGCACCCTGTGTGGAGGGTACTGGAATATCTGACCAACAGGCCAACATTTCAACTCACGGAGTAATGGTTCAATGAATGTATTAATGGCAAATTTTATAGTCAAATTTGTATTCCTGTTTTCAACAGGAATTGGAACGTAAGATTTCACCTTTCCTCATCAGGCACAAACTTTGCGTCCCATCCACACTTCTCAGCAATCATCACCAGTAGTTGATGCAGCCTCTCCCACGGTTGAGTCAGCTCCCCAAACCCAAAGCCTTGCCCCTTGCCTGCCTGGGGGGACATTAGGGGAGTAACAGGCCCCTTGGCCCCCTTCTGATCGGCTTGCTTCCAAGCGGGCTGGGTGGCATAATTCGTGTAGAACTCCACGGATTTCTGCAGCCACTTGTGGTACTGCTTAGGCTGGCAGTTGACTTTCTTGCTGGCACAGATTATGGGGAGAACTTCGCAAACTGTGGATGGTACAAATAAGCATGTTGCATTTGTGTCTTTGGTAAAGTCAAAAGCTACATTTGAGACCATAAATAGGGGCATTGCTATCGGTTTGTTTGATATCAACTCAGACTAAATTTGACTTTATCTTTTGCACTTTAGTCAATAGAAAGATGCGATAAGCCCCGCCCCCCCCCCCCCCTCATGTAATGACCAATCACAGCCATGATTGAGGTCTGGCAAAATGCCAACATGTGTGGTTTGTGCATGATGCCCTCACGTTGAACATATAGTGTAGCACTGGACAGGCACATCTTTTGTTACCAGCGTGTGCCGTGAGCTGGGACTCATGGGACCGGTCTACTGAAGACATAAACAATGTTAAGAGTCACTGGCTCTGGATTCAAAGTACAGAATTTGACAAAAAAATTGACGCAAACTCAATCTAGGAGCCTAATAAAAGCAAGAGGAGAGACACAAAAATTGGTCTTTAGCAATTATGATCATACTAGAAAAGAAGTGTTTTGCATATGAAACAAAAATCAAAGTTAAAAAGATTAAACAGTATAGAGTCTTTAGGTGTTGACTGCTCTGAATCCTCCTTATAGGTCAGCTAGTCAAAATCACGCAAATAAATTTCAACATTTAACTCTTTCAGTGCCCGTGAAATTTGAAAAGTTTAACCCTGAAGTGCCCAACTTCGAGCGTTTTTTGTAATTGTTCAAAATTCTGTAAAAAAAAAAGTAAATAAGTTTCACTCACTAAATTTGTTGTGTTTGCTCTCTGGTATATCCTTGATATATTGGAAAGTCAATAGTTGTCACGTACATAGTGATACACCCTGAAACACTGTCCTGCACACAGGGGAATTCCGCACCATTTGCAGAAAATACGAGTGTCAGTGCTGCGCCCTCTCGCAAGAACTCGAATTAAACAATAAATACAGGTCTTACCTGAATGAAAATGATATTATTAGAAAGAGCGAGAGTGCCCCCTTGTGATAACATGCTTACTCTACCTTGTACATGTACAAGGTTTGGCGATTTTAAGTACGAATATTACCTCGTACATGTACGAGGTTGGCACTGTCGAACTAACAAATATACCTCGTACATGTACGACTTTGGCACTGAAAGAGTTAACAATGAATTTGACATTGACGAAGCACTACTCACCCATGACACGGCGGAAGCGGTTGGTTGCTAGCTTCTCACCCTCATTCTTCTCTGCATCCAGCAGCATATCAACAAGGGGCACCTAGTGAGACAATTACTGTATGAACCTTTTCTTGTAATTGTGTCCCAACAGCTAACCCTTCCACTTACCCAAGTACCAACACTCGTTATGATCAGCAGGCATTTGCCGGGGCTGTACCCACACTTTACGCTCCACCTGCATATCTAAGACTCACCCTCGGTAAATGCATTCAAAACCCAGTTAAAGAGAATGTACATCACAGGCTTTTGCTGTCATTTTCAGAAATGCTCTATTTTGAGGGGTAAGTATAACAGATCAAATATTGTTACACTGACATGTTTGAAGTTTTGTGTTCGAAAATACTGAAAAAACCAAGAAAAACAAAAATGTTCATGTAGTCTGGTTCCTTGACTCCACTAAAGATGAAATGGATCAATTTATAGATACCGAAAAATTGTAAGGTAATGGAACGAGTCTAACTGGCCTGCACCCCTTCATGAACATGTAACCAATAGCAAACAAAATTTGAATTGAAAAAAAAATGGTAAATTTGGAGCAGTAGTTGAAAAAGTCGGCCGACCACCGTTGGAAATTTATACAAAATACCACTTTTCTTGAAAATGACTTCACACATGGTGCCATGACTTTACAGGATGCTTTAGACTGTCATTTACCAACATCCTAGTATGTTAAAACATATTATTCACACAGTAGAGAGCACTTTCAAACACCTTTAAACAGTTCATCAATAATGTTTATTATTACTATTAACCCCTCATTGAAATCTGTTTTCAAGTAACTAAAATTCTCATCTTCTTAACTACACAAAGGGAACTGGTGTTTGTTACTTGCCCTGACTTTAGAGTCATCAGAACCCCTCCCCCACCCTCAAAAAGGACTTGAAATGGCCCTTCATGTCTGCCTTCTTATCACAGACTATCGCCATGATTTTAGGAATGCCAGTGATTTTCAACTCACGCCGTGTTCTGCAATCGCATCAGGGAATCGATTGATGAGTAAGAGTTTCAGCTGACACTTCTCCAGGATGTTGTTACAGTGATCTGTAGCAAATGAATGTTGAAAAAAAATTACACAACTGAACCTTAAAAGAGCAAAGGTGGTTTAGTAAGGGGCTTCGTGGGGGGGGGGGGGCAGAAGAGATGCTACATCTGATTTTTGTGAAATTGGTGTCAATGCATCCTTAGACATCAATCGCCATACCCCCCGCCCCCTTCCCCTAGGAAAAATGTGCGGTGATGATATTAGACACAAAAATAGGGAAGGGTTGCACTCCTTCAGGGCTAGTCCTATTATTATATTATTAAATTCTTATTCTGACAAATTATGGCTCAGAAAGCACACTTTAAAAGGCCAGTCATGTGACATTCTGAACTCAATTTTTTTTCCTTGAAAAGTCTTCACTTGCATCTATTGACTTTATTCTACAGTTCATTTTCAGGTGATCTTCTAGTACCAATTTTACTACAAGCTTACATACAACATACAATTAAGCATCAGACTAGAATGGGTTGCTCCAGGACTCCAGCATTTGGGTAGACCCACCTTTTGGTGACAAGTTTCTGCACGGTCCATTGTTTGTGAGGATGAGTAAAAGTAAAGAGCTGAGTCAACTTGGGGGGGGGGGGGCAAAAAGGGTTGGTTTGCCCAACCAAAATTTTTTGTTGGGGGGGGATAATACCTGCACTGAGAAGCAAAACATCAAATTGAGCTTTGTCTGGCAATGATGCAAATACCTCTGCAAACAAAAACATGAGTAAAGAAACAACAAATAAGACATTTGAAGTAAATAAAAAACCTCACGTCAAATGAGATGGTAGAAAAGAAACAGAGACCTGCAATGAATTCCAACCTTGTGTTATACATGTACCAGTACTTCAGCATTGCCTTGGAGGGCCAACAACTTTGTCTGTTTTTTTTCTTTTTTTAGTTAAACATAAAAAAAAATCGATATACTAAATATGATCTATAAATTTAATCTACTAACTAGTAAAAAATAATCACACACTGCTATTTTCCAAATATTACTACAATCACTTATCAGGATAGACTTAAATACCCTGTAGGAATAGTCCATATTCATCTTCGGTGTGAGACTTTAGGGCACTTGTTACAATCTGTAGTTCCTTCCATAGTGCAGCTTCCTGCTTAAATTGCTCAAACCTGTGTGTGAGCAGAGGAAAACGTTCATTTCTCTTGAAATCTAAACCACACAGTTGCTTGTGGATGCAAGAAAGGACAAGGCAAGGCAAATTTTAAAATATGGGATTGAAAACTATGAGGCTACAAAAAAGCGGGCTTTTGGTGGTTGTTATTTTTTTGTAGATAATGCCAAGACAAGGCAGGAAGTGCCTGCAGACTAATTCGGCGACAGTGGCACTCAGGTAGTATGCACGCACACCAGGCTACTGAGCATCCTTCCAGTGTTAACAAAATGCATGCGCGCCTTGTCTTTAAGAACACATGCGGCATCATCCAACCCGATTTCTTACTAGCCTCGTGTGTGTGCGTACGCGAGACTCGGTGCAACTGCAGTCTTTCAGTGGTAAATTTCATGCGCACGCATTGTTCTACATGTTCTATGCAACGTTCTATGCGTGGATGCGGCATTTCACGCATGTAGACGATCCGTTCCGTACATTTTGTATACATGCTCACATGAGTTGTTTATCCTTGTGTAGAGGATCCACGGTTTAATTCAGTGATAGTGTATTCCAACTTCATTACACTGAATGGACTTACATTTCCAGAAGCAGCAAGGATGCTGGGCGTGTGTTTCTCACAGACTTCTCAATGCAATATGCTTCAAACTGAAGAGAGAAAAAAAAGGATTATAAATGATAATGATATACAGCCTGCAAATATGCAGGAGTTTACATTTCTTGAAACTGGACATGTCAAGTGCACCTATGAATAATTGCAGCTGGAAGCTTAAGCACCGTGGGATCTTTTTGTGAAATTTAAGTCAAGAAGTAACTTGGTACATTTCGGGATCTGAGTTATTGTCAACCTAAATGTCCACTCACCATTACTCATGTTAAGGCCAAAAAAAAAAAATTCAGTCTCTGGTCAGACCAAAGTTCCGGAATTGACGCGGCCATGCGGCTTTTTTTTTTTTTTTTTGGCTTTTTTTTTTTCTTCTTCAAGCTTGGATTGTACAGACAAGGTGGGTACAATTTGCATTTTTGGTGTCCTCATGTACATTCAATTCAAGTGTCCTCCATAATTTGCCTTGGTGCTTTCGATCATTTGCCTTGGTGCAATTTCCCATTCCTTGGTGCTCGTTGGTAAAAAAAAATTGAGGAGGTGCGGAAATAGAGGGCACTGTTGGAGCTACCGCGGAACATTTTGAAAAAAAAAAAGATCGACGCGCATGATTAAAATCGACGCACGCGCTGACCAGAGACCGACTTATTTTTTTTTTGGCCTAACAAAGAGTATGTTTACAAGACTAAGAGCCTGGTTCTTGACAATCAATAGCACATAAGAATTCCAGGAAAGAATCCAGTATCCTGACATTCTCACTCTTTCTATATCATAATTATCTTTGGTAATGGCCAATCACTGAAACAAATACGTCCCCACAAATCTGGGACAGCAAAGTATTTGAAAAGTTGTTAAAATCTATGTTGAAAAATAAATGAAAAAAACCCAAAACAAAAACACAACAAACAATAACAACCAAAAAGCAAAACAAATGTTGTCAATGTATTTAAAAACTTAAAAATAATAACAAATCAAGACAAACCAAATGAATGGTGATTGTGTAGTGTATGGCCCCTGTTTAGTTTCGATCAAATTAGAGTCAAGGGTGTTTTTTAAACGACCTTTTCAAGCTAAAGCAGACTTCTCTCAATGTAATGACACCTTTTTTGCAATTTTTGAACAGTTTCTTGGGGTTCCTACACAGTTTGAGGTTGGTGCCGTACGATTCAGCGTGCTTTGCGCATTCATGGTACATCGCGCGGTGATCACCATCTTTATTTTCGTGTTGCGTTTTGTCGTTGTCATCGTCATTTTACCCCCAAATTTACCTCAAAAACTCTAAACCCTGCCCTGTTTTGCCCTGCCCTGCCCTGCCCTGACATACATGCATGTTTTTAATGTTGCAAACTACTTAAAGTTTGGTAGGTCAAAAAATTAAAAGTGGATTTTGTCCCCTATAGGAACCGGGCCCATAGATACACGAACGCCACATGAATACAAAAGAAAACAAAAAATACAACAAGAAAGTGGCATATGGCATCTACAGTAAGAAATATTTTCTTACATCATACATGTCTACAGTCTAAACAAAACTGGAACTTTTTGGAAGCATTTACGACTACGAGTTAAAAAAAAAAAGTTTTTCTTTCAACATATTGGAAATACTTGTCCATCATTGGGGTTATATAACATGTTTATGGAGAAAGAAAGTGGCATCAGGATATACCAGCAGGATATTAAATGTTCATAGTTTTGTATTTTTGTTAACTTGTCGACTAGTCAGTCTTATTGTAATATCATAACTGGGTAAGGTGCAGTCGTGCACAAAATATCAAATCGAAGGCCCTACCTGAACTCCAAAATCCTGAGGGTGTAAAGTTCTGGCCGTGATGAGCAAAGCTTTGGCAGAGTCTGGGTCATTTTTCAAACATTTCTGGGCTTTCTCTACAAGCCACTTCGGGCCGTAGCTATCAGAAGACTTGCTGTCACTTACATTACTCATTTCGCACGTTTTTCTGAATGAGTACGCGCACTCGTACTCGTACGTCGCGTCGTTGAGTCAATTGAAGTTTAGTCTGGCGCTGCATAATGAATGTTTTGTTGATAAAAGATTCACACAGGGAGCAAGACGGACCTTCACACATTCATTATAGTCGTAGTCTATGAGGGGGTCCCAGTGCACCCCCCCCCCCCCCCCCCCCCCCCCCAACGCATCGCCACCGATCAGTGGCATGTCCCCAGTAGGAAAAAAAAGATGTTAACATTGAAATTCAACTGAGGATGCACTCTCTCAGGGAAGCCACTTTAAGTGATTGAGCTTGCATTTTCTTAGCAGAAGGGGAATAAACAATATACAAATAACGAATGTTTGTGAGTGCGATGGTAAGAATAATTTCATGAGGTGACAGATTGAATGTTCTATTCCACGAGGCGAAGCCGAGTGGAATAGAACATTCAATCTGTCACCGAAAAAAAAAAAAAATAGGTCGGTCTCTGGTCAGCGCGCGCGTCGATTTTAATCATGCCCGTCGATCTTTTTTTTTTCCAAAATGTTCCGCGGTAGCTCCAACAGCGCCCTCTATTTCCGCACCTCCTCATTTTTTTATCAAAGAGCACCAAGGAATGGGAAATTGCACCAAGGCAAATGATCGAAAGCACCAAGGCAAATTATGGAGGACACCAATGTACATGAGGACACCAAAAAAGCAAAATAGTACCCCACCTTGTCTGTGCAATCTCAGCTTGAAGAAAAAGAAAAAAGCAAAAAAAAAAAAAAAAAAAAAAAAGCCGCGTGGCCGCGTCAATTCCGGAACTTTGGTCTGACCAGAGACCGAATATTTTTTTTTTGGCCTTATTTAACTGCCACTAAGACTGCAAACTCATATAACATAATATCTGGGTATAGAGCCCTCTATAGTCGGTTTTCCTGACGATTCAAGGCATTTTAGAAAGATAAATATATGAACATATACCAACCATGTCAAGCTTAACCAAGATTGATAAAGGTATGTGCATGAATCTGGGAGATTGACCTGACACCCACCAACCCAAAGGCTAAGAATACCAGAACCTGGCTCAGCAGGACGGTGTTTAACTTATTAAAAATGTAATTTAGAATTTCCCAAGACCTAACTCTCAAATTAGCTCCACAGAGGTGTGATAATCATAACTGTTTTATGATTTAATAGGCCTTCAAGACGAAAAATAAGCTGTAATGTTTACGATGAGCAATATTTCGGAAAATTTTCAAAATAAACGTGTATATATATTTCGTTTGACTGTAGCACATTCTATAGTTGGTTTCCATGACAACCAAATATATTTTTCAAAAGACCTATTCATGGAGAATACATGTGCTGAGTTTGATTAAGATCGGTCAAGGTCTGCTCAGGTTATGTCGTTTTGTTTGTTCCCCTTCCAACCCTAGTGCTATAGAAAATGCGTCTAAGCTCAATCAAAGGCGGTTCCAATAAGTGGCCTTCTGAGAGAGTGCATCCCTAAATGTTCACTGTTAACATTTTTTTTCCTACTGGGGACATGCCAAGGATTAAAAAAAATATCGGTGGCGGTGGGTCCTGGGGGCCCACTGGTACCCCCACAGCCCAAGGACTAATTGTCGATGCCAGCATTGAGGGGTGGGGGGGGGGGGGGGGGTAACCCCCTAACTTGAGTAACTCCAGCTCCAATTCTCAAATGCGATAAGCACTGGAGCTTGAGTTACTAAAGCTATTTACCCCCCCCCCCCCCAATATTTTGAAAAGACTGCCCTTTCCATTCAAGTGCCCTTTTTTTCACCAGCGTTTTTTAATCTTTAACGAGTGCCCCCCTTTTTTTAACAAGTGCCCCATTTTTTCCTAACAAGTGCCCTTTTTAACCATAAAGTCGTGTTCTTTATGTGGCAATGGTCGTTCCGACAGCCTTTTTTTATTTTGCGCATGTGTCGTCCTGAAAAGCGCCATATATTGTCTGTTAGTTGGCATAATCATCTGTTTCAAACAGCGCCCCCCATCATGAAGATAATCTACCAGAGGCCCCCCCCCCCTAAGTGTCTACATTTCAGCGCGGATGTGCAACGGTGCCCTTTTAAAGAAATGTTTACTCCAAAAAAAATGACCTTGCTACGCCCCTGCATATTCTACCTTTTAAGCCCCCCCCCCCTCCCAAGACGTGCTGGCATGTATATTTTCAGACTTTCTTTGAAGGATGGTGTAGAAGGTGTTTCGATGGCATCTGTGCAGGGTAGCCGATTGCTCTTGGCTGGTGCCCCCCCCCCCCGGCCAGGGAGAGGGGGGGGAGCGGGGGGGGGGGGGGGGCTAGTGGGCACATGCCCCCCATTCGCTCCCAATTCCCAGTGACCCCGCCCAGGCGCGGTTCTACGGGCGGGGGGGGGGGGGCTAGGGGGCTGTAGTCCCCCCAAAAAAATTGTTTAGCCCCCCCTCCCAAATAAATTCCGTAAAAAAACTAATTGCATTAGCAAAAAGAAGGATTGTGATGAACATGCGAACGGTCTCCCCCTAAAGAAGAAATAGCCGTGACAAGGGTGCATTAGTTAATATAGTGTAAATGATTTTAGGATTTTATTGGCGCTCGCCATTGAAAATATGGCATGAACCCCCCCCCCCCCCCCTTGATTTTCGGAGGCCTAAGTGTCTGGAAAAAATAACCGGTCAACATTTCAGCACGCCTCTCTGAACAAATTCTGGATCCACCGTGCTAGCCCCCCCCCCCCCAAACAAATATTGGTTCTAGAACCGCGCCTGCCCCCGCCCCGCCCCAGATGCCCCCACCATCCCCCCCAAAAAGTGAAATGCCCAAGAAGACACGCCCACAACGGCAAGCTAGATGCCACCCACCACCTGCAGAATTTTTTGGATGAATGTTTATTTGCATTGACTCTGCTGGCCTTCCAACACCTGAAAACTTCGTTTGTGGTTATAAAACGCACATATGGAATTTTACATGAATTTAATTTCAAAGCTTTTAAAATTATGCATGGGTACTTGCTAATAAACAATGAAGCGTGATGTACGATACATTTCATGACGTAAACAAGACTAGTTCGTAGGTTGATGTCTGCATGCCGATGTTACCATCAACCAATCCAGGGCCCGATTTCCATGTTCAAGCTCCGATTCCATGTTTAAGCTATGCTCATGATATCAGCTTATAAACAATTACAAGAATTGCACATCATTTTGCCTGGAAACCTGTCTTTGATTTGAACACAATTTTCTTAAAAGCTTAATGGAATAGGTTCCATGACTTGAAGAGAAAAGAGTATCTTCACCCTTAACATTTACTTAGGTTATTTGTATTGATATACATTGTATACGACACACACAAAAAGCTGAGTGAACCGCGACAATAATATCCACCCAGTTACAAAGTTGAATTTTTAAGCTTATCAACTTTAGAAACTGCCAGAAATTAAATATTTGCTTAAACCGGGCTTACCTGTTGCAACGCCGATAAATCATGCAAAGTTCACAGGCTTTTATTTTCGAATCCGGGTTCAAATGGTTAATGACACATGGATTATTGACTGTATGTTTCGAGAGGTGGGACAACGAATAAAAGGAGATACCAACAACCCCACACTTTAGTTTGTGATATCGATAGTGTAAATCCAGAATTTCCTGCTGTTCCAATTCCCTGTTCCTTTGTTTATACGACAACAGCTCTCTTTGGTTTTGTACACATTTTCTAATCGAGTTCGTCCTCGATTTGATTCCTATCCTCAATTACTCGATGACGCTCCATATCTGTGTCCTCGATTTACACCATAAATATACCTTTGATTCCATAAGTTCATCGTTCTCATGACAACTGGTTTTAAATCCAAGTGGTCATTAAGGTCATTAGTTTTCATTAAAGCAAGGAATGAGGTTGATCAGGAATTTAATTTCGTCAAAACTGATACAGACAGGCTTAATATTTTGTAAAGTGTTACATTCCAAGTCGTTTGGGTAATGTACTTTCAAATTCGTATTTGCTTATTCGTACAAAAACTCTTTATAAAACATTTAAAGAACGGAAAGTTCATTTCTGCACTCTTTCTTGGACAACACAGTAACACACCTCTCTGTCAAAGCGTTTTGAACAAAAACATGGCGGCCTCTAGCAAGGGTATCTCTATACATTTTTACTTTAGGCCTACTTTACTTTTTCTATACTTTTACCATTACTCTTTGGACAAGGGTCTATGTTTGTTCAAGGTTTCATCTACATCCTCTGGACCGTTTAGGAGAAATTTTGTTTGTTTTAATATGCTTCTTTGGTATTTTGAGTTCACCTAATTTTGAATTTCCGTAAACCCCGGATTTGAATTTTGAAGGTCAAGCTACTTCACGTATACGAAATGAAATGTTCATCAAGGCATGGTCAATCAGATCACAAAATACGAATATCACTCTTCCTTTTGTTCATGAGTTATGATTGAAACAATACAGTCACTTCTTGAATTATGATTGCTTGTAATTTGCCTGATGACGTTGTCAGGACGTCCCTCTTTTATGCATAGGCCTACCTCTGTATCAGGGTTGAAATTTGAAATTCATGCGTTGTTCCATTTGAAAGAAAATTAGCTTGATATGCAGCTTGAGTGGGGAGTTTCCACTACATGTTTGGTGGTGCAATTTTATTTAGTTTAAGTGGGGAATTTCCATTACTTGTTTTGCGGTGCAATTCATTTGATATGTATCTTTAGTGGGGAATTTCCACTACTTGTTTTGTGGTGCGATCCATTGTCCATTGTTTGGTAGTACAATCGTATTCTGTTCATAAAAAAATCCAATTCAGTTTATTAATTTGACAAACAAGTGCACCCTTCAGTCATTTGTCTTTTAATATAATGGCTTGGACTTTGCATGTAGCCTATATGGAGTCTGTACCTGAACTTACACATAAAGCTTATCTTGATTTATACGATATACACGTACCCGAATGTGAACGTGTACAATCACAAATTAAAATCTACTTTGAAACTGCACGACATGAGGGGGTATACCTTTAGTTGTCGTGTTTGTTTCGTCGTGATGCCCACTTAAGAAGTTCCGTCCCTGTGGTAATTTTATGTATACACAATGCACGCTGATATACTCTGCTAAACACTTTTGAGTAAAGTCTTTTCCCCGTTGTATGACATACTTTTAAATGTGTCCAATTTCTTGTTTAAAGTACAAGATTAATTTGGTGTAAATCTTTGTTAATACTTCTACATGATCTTCAACCCTCACAGCCCCCTCTTTTTCACAGCTTAACAAAACACCTCGCAACTATCGAAGCATTATGTGGAGAATATAGTTCATTAGCTTTTCACCATTGAAAAAAATATTTCCAATCTGGTGAAAAGTTATTGAGTTATGGCCAATTCAAAATTAGTGCCGATTTTTTTTTCAATCTGTCCACCGTCTCAATTGTCATTGATATTATGAATGTACCGGTAATGGATTTGGGGCGAGGGTAGTTTTGCTTTCTTTAATCTTTCAATTACTACTTGAATAGCTAAGGGAAAATAAAGGTTCGACTTGACTTTTGCTATGAATTCTAAAGTACACAATATGCTTGCCGTTGTGATCTCAAAAGCAATACCCACACGTTTGTCTATGCAATGGTTTAGTGTAAATCGAGAATTTCCTAGTTTCCACTTCCCTGTTCCTTTGTTTATACGACAATTAACAGCTCTCATTGGTTTTGTACACGTTTTCCAATCGAGGTCGTCCTCGAATTGATTCCAATCCTCAATAAATCGATGACGCTCCATATCTGTGTCCTCGATTTACACCCTAAATAAACAGAAGTTTATTTGTTTTTGGTGCAAATTAGAAACATCAAAATGTACAAAATGGCGGCCAAGTTTTGAATTTCAAAATGATCACCTCAGATGGGTTTGAAAATAAATTGGCATTATTACTCTTTTGTTGAAAAATAAGGCTACAAACGGCACGAACAAGCGTCTATTAAGGAATGATCCGATTCCATAAGTTCATCGTTCTCATGACAACTGGTTTTAAATCCATGTGGTCATTAAGGTCATTAGTTTTCATTGAAGCAAGGAATGAGGTTGATCAGGAATTTCCGGGTCGAAACCACTGATGGTTCAGTGGTCGAGGCTGTGACCGTTTTAGCCGATTTTCGACTAACTTTGAGAATTTTTTTGTTTAATAAGGGTTTGACGGAAAATTTGACAGAATGGATTTTTTTGGGGCGGATTTCTGGCAGAGTTCTGCAAAAATGGTTATTTGACAGAAAAACATAACAAATTTGAAAAAAAGCTTCAATCTTTCCAAACAAACCCTTGCATAGTAATTGGATAGGTTGGCTGGTCTAGGTGCTGAGGTTCACTGGGAAACGGACTTCGTCGTGACGTAACCGCGTTAATTCAGTGCCTGACATTTATGCAATTTCATAACATCTTAATGTGACTATAGATTGTTTATAATATTATATGAACCTTAATTAAGGCAATAATACAACACCTGCATGTGATTTCAGTGTATTTCGAGTAATTATGGGGAATTTGGCAGATTTTTGATAAATCTGAGAAATTGTGAAGTGCATTTAGCACATACTGACTGGATAGCGCTTCGGGCCGTGTGGGTGAAGTCAATGGACGCCATTTTCGTACTCCCTTTGGTCACGTAAAAGTATTTGCAAAATAATCAAATATAACTATATATTTGAACAAATATTAACATGAAGCCCGGGAAGGGACAGGGTGGAAATGTTTTTTTTTTTTTTTGTGATTTGCGAATTCGTTCCCACGCATTGCTACGGAAGCCGGATAGTGCCAGGTCTCTAAGGGATGAATATATATTTTGCAAACACGTCAGAATTTTTTTGTACATCGCCGCCACTTAATATGCGGCGGCCGCAACTTATTATGCGGCGGCCGCAACTTATTATGCGGCGGCCGCAACTTATTATGCGGCGGCCGCAACTTATTATGCGGCGGCCGCAACTTATTATGCGGCGGCCGCAACTTATTATGCGGCGGCCGCAACTTATTATGCGGCGGCCGCAACTTATTATGCGGCGGCCGCAACTTATTATGCGGCGGCCGCAACTTATTATGCGGCGGCCGCAACTTATTATGCGGCGGCCGCAACTTATTATGCGGCGGCCGCAACTTATTATGCGGCGGCCGCAACTTATTATGCGGCGGCCGCAACTTATTATGCGGCGGCCGCAACTTATTATGCGGCGGCCGCAACTTATTATGCGGCGGCCGCAACTTATTATGCGGCGGCCGCAACTTATTATGCGGCGGCCGCAACTTATTATGCGGCGGCCGCAACTTATTATGCGGCGGCCGCAACTTATTATGCGGCGGCCGCAACTTATTATGCGGCGGCCGCAACTTAATATGCGGCGGCCGCAACTTAATATGCGGCGGCCGCAACTTATTATGCGGCGGCCGCAACTTATTATGCGGCGGCCGCAACTTATTATGCGGCGGCCGCAACTTATTATGCGGCGGCCGCAACTTATTATGTGGCGGCCGCAACTTAATAACTGGCGGCCGCAACTTATTATGTGGCGGCCGCAACTTAATAACTGGCGGCCGCAACTTAATATGTGGCGGCCGCAACTTAATAACTGGCGGCCGCAACTTAATAACTGGCGGCCGCAACTTAATATGTGGCGGCCGCAACTTAATAACTGGCGGCCGCAACTTAATATCTGGCGGCCGCAACTTAATATGTGGCGGCCGCAACTTAATAACTGGCGGCCGCAACTTAATATCTCGCAGCCGCCACTTAATCATCTGAATTATCTGACGCTATCAGTCAGACCAAAGACTCGAAGCTTTGGAGAAGGAAATCTTCACAGGTGAGCTCGCTGTTCCCGCTTTAATTTTTGGTTTGCTTAGTTCTAATAACGCCAGGTAATGAAAAATCCCTCCCTGTAGGCCAATATTGCCAAAGCTTTTGGCAGATGAGATGTATTGCTTTTAATAGCCTTTAGTACCGTAGTGTTATCATGCATAATGCATGAGGCCCCTGATTGTCTCGACTCTGCCTGTGATTATGACAAAGCGGCTGATTTTTGCTACTAAACACTAATATTTTCACGGTATGGTGTTCAAAATGTGTATGTAGTATACATGTTGTATTATTTTGCTCACACAGATAAGCTATGGATCAAGATATTATAGCCACGTATTTCCATTTGGGTCTCAGCTACACGGAAATTTTGTATGCGCTTGCTTTAAACCACCGAATCGTCATAAGTCTTAGGACACTGAAAAGACGCTTGCGTCAGCAACGTCTGTTTCGACGCAAACACTTCACTGACATTCTGGAAGTCGCTGACTTCATTTTTGATCAGATCAATGAAAGTGGAATTATGCATGGATACAGATGGATGCATTTGAAATGTCTGCAAGCTGGCAAAGTCGTTCAACGAGACACGGTTTATGCCGTTATGAAGATCCTAGATCCTGATGGTCTGCAACTTCGGAGAAGAGGCAGGCTCATAAGAAGGGAATACTTCGCAAGGGGACCCAACTACTTGTGGCACCTGGACTCCTATGACAAACTTAAGACGTATGGGTTGCGCATCAATGGGTGCATTGATGGGTTTTCGCGTCAGATAGTTTGGCTAAACGTATATCGCACGAGCAGCGATCCTAAGGTAATTGCTGGATATTACATGGAAGCAGTGAGCGCTATGGAGGGATGTCCAAGTATGATCAGAGGAGACATGGGAACCGAGAACGGGCGTGTGGCGATGATGCAAGAGTTCTTGTCGGAGCAGAATAGCTTCATATATGGGAAAAGTACTCACAATCAGCGGATAGAGGCTTTTTGGTGTATGCTGCGTAAAGAATGCACACAATTTTGGATTGATGCTCTGAAGACATTGAAGGATGTTGGCGATTTCACAGGAGACTCTCTAGACACAGGTCTTGTCCAATTCTGCTTTATGAGTTTGGTCCAGGTGTGTTGAATTATTTCAATTTGCTGTTCGTCATCCTCATGCATGTATGCCGAAATTAGGTCAATGTGGAAAAATCTAATATGGTGCAAAGCCTGTCTTAACTGTGAGGACGGTGTAAAGTAATGCCGTGCACTTTACCCTTTCCATATGACTGGATATCCCTCTCTCTCTCTCAAAAAGGAAAATAAATATAGAAAACCCACTTAATACCACTAAATGGAGTTCCAAAATTATTGATTGTCATTGTGAAAGTCTTAAGTATGTGTATGGCTGCTGCAATTTTGACTACTTAATAATTCTAATTCTAATGTATAATTCAATCAAAAGTTATGATGCTCGAACATACCGAATGTGAGTAAAAGATGTGATATAGCCTAAATTTCTTATTTGTCATTTTTTTGTAATAGAATGATCTTGATAGGATGTCGTCTGTCTGGAACTGCCATCGCATACGACGTTCAAAGAATCAGAACGTTCCCAACGGAAGACCTGTAGTTCTCTTCTCCATGCCAGAATTGTTTGGCCGACGTGACTACTTGAAGCCAGTTGACCAGGAACATATCGAAGCCTGCTGCACCGAGTGTACCTTCAGGGATGGCCTTCCGTGTGACGAGGAGTTATTTGAACTCTTCATTATTTACATGACTGAACATTCTTTGGAACATCCTGGCAATGTAGAGCAGGCACTGCAGCTTTACCACGCGCTGCGTGATGCCATTCGACAGGATCTGGAACAGTAATATATAGACCTATATAGTTTCTCACAATACTGTCAGTGTCGGTGATACGTGCTGCCCAGAAACGACTTGTGGATCAGTAATGAGATGAATTATTGATGTTATATGAAAACCTCCAATTTGTAAAAAAAGAAGCACATGTCACGAAGTAGACATCAATTACAAAAAGGCCATTAATGAACCTCTTAAAGTTGAAATTGGTGTACTAAGTTGTCAGTTTTCTGAAATCAAGTACATGGAATTATTGAAGTAATTGAGTAGGATAAACAGCCAACGTCAAGGATAAACAGCCAACGTCAAAAAAAAATAGCCGATATCCCACTCAGCCCAGCCAGACGTTATTAAAATATCAAGCAACAGGTTTCATGTGTGTTGGTGGGGGTGAGGGACCTTCTGCTGAGCAACCCCAGCAAATAAGGCGAAGTACACCATGTCTGCACCCCTGGACCCATTCTTAGAACATAGACTCGAATGCCATGAATGACGTACAGACAAATCTATGTAGATTACACTACTAATTACATTCTTACCTATTTCTTAGTTTTGTTTATGTATAAGTCTATTTCTAGGTTTTTTTTTTATATATTTGATTGCAGCACTTTTGGAAAACTGCATTGTTCAAAGAATGTTCAAACTAACCACAAATGAATATACAGAGTGAAACCAACATTTCTAACGGAAATTTTCTGTGATTCCCAGTTTAATTGCCTGGCAAAAACTACTTTTATTACAATCCACGTCACTTTTTAATTAAAAACGATTAAATAAACACTTCACTTTTTTTATAATTTCAACGAGCAAAACCAAAACGCTATATCAAAACTTCAACAATATCTAACACGAGCAACTGCCTGCAAATGTAACACCTCAGTCACCAATATAATTATGCAATGAAATTTAGGACAAATATAATCTAAATGTGTGAGCAAAACGTCTTTGGAAAATCGAAAAGGTACGATTTGCTTTTCCTGTTGAATTTGTATTTCAACGGAACTAATTTACATTTTGGGCGAGTTACCTTTGCACAATTTGTACAGGACGCGGAATATGCATCGCCAAATTAAAGTGTTTTATAATTAGGATTTTGTGACGTATGTAAAACTAAATCTCGTATGAACTTATTTATGAGGGACACACCATTCAAAGGAAACCTTTGCATCGTAGGAAAGAAGTAATATCAACAAAATATGTTTTGTGGGATGGAGAGAAAAGGAAAACAAATTATAACAGTAGTGCCAGCCTTTGGGATTAGCGAATCTTATACAGTAACAAAAAATCATTTCAAAATACTACAACTACAGAACACCACATAAAAGAATGTATATCCCATGAACAGAATTTGGGATTTAAAAAGGTTATTTCACTACAATACAAATGGGAAATGTCACTGTTTATGAAGAATACTTGTCCTCGTTAAAACACATAAAGAACAAAATGGCAACGCAATTGAAAAATACAACTGTTACTGAAGGATATTTCTCTTAAAACATAAAAGAACAAAATGGCAATGCAAATGAAAAATACAACTGTTACTGAAGGATATTTCTCTTAAAACATAAAAGAACAAAATGGCAATGCAAATTAAAAATATAACTGTTACTGAAGGATAGGCCTACTTAAAAAAGAACCAAAATTATGGCAATACAACTCTGACTGAAGGTTATACTGAAGGTTACTTCTCCTCAACCAAAATGGCAGCGCAAATGAAAAAAAATACAACTGTTACTGATGGATACATCTCCTCATAATACATCATGAACAAAATGGCAGCGCAAATGAAAAAAATACAACTGTTACTGATGGATACTTCTCATCATAATAGATCATGAACAAAAATTATGGCAATGCAACTGTTACTGAAGGTTATACTGAAGGTTACTTCTCCTCATGATGATACAAAAAGAACAAAATGACTTTTCGTTTCAAGCACGTACATAATACAATATACAAATCATGTATAACACAAAGCACACTTCCAAATCACCTAATTAACTACTACTGCAGTGAAACAAGAGTGCATGTATGGGGATTGATATAGGTTGTCTGTTAATGAAATAGAAGAAGGGTGACACGGCTTTTAGATGATGTCCATTTGCCAGTATCTGTTGCGAAGGAGGGTTGTGAATTCTGACTTCAATGTGATATAAGGCAGTGCCGCATACGAGCGCGGAATGTTCAGAACACACCCACATGTGTGTGCTGTGGGGCAGCGAATCTCTGACTCGGTGAACCTGGTGGTGATCTTCTCTCTGACCGCGAGGTCGGACCCTGTGCAAAATCGCAAGAACAGGCCGAGCAGATTCTGATCCATCTCCCTCACCAGTCTCTTAAGTGAGGAACTCAAGGCGCCTTCTTCTGTGTTCATTGGTTTGGGAAATTCCAATATGTTCAATACCTTCCTGGTTGATGGCTTCAGGTTGTCATAAATCTGACGGAGCTGGAGTCGTGAGAGGCCGAGAGATTTCAGCTTTGGTCGCCAACACAGCGCCACAAATAGTGGTACTTGAAGCATCTCCTTATTTTCCATCTCGGTAAGTGATTTCTCGATGTTCTCGTCTGTAAGGTTTCGTCTGGCATCGTGTCGTTCCATGAAATCCATCAAGTCATCTGCATCGACAGATGAAACACTCCTCATTGCATCTTCAAGCAGCAATCGGTCGACATCCGGGAGCAACTGCATGAACGCGTCTAGTGGGTCATCGGGTTTCCCAAAAAATGCCAGTTGCATGAAAGGCAGAGCAAGCCTGACCGGCAAAATTCCCTCCTGTCTGAATGCTAAGCGGATTACTTCTCCCACTGCCGACCAATGGACCTTGGTCATGTCATGGCGTAATACCGGTACGGCTACCGAGTTGCCGATTGTGTACTGCAAATAAAAGCTGTCGAAAAACTCAGTAAGTGCATCCCTCAAGACTCCTCCGTTGTCTTCAGCCATCTCTGTGCTTCCATCTGACTTCAGCATCTTCACTTCGAAGGTTGTTCCTCTCAGGTTGACGTTCTCCTCTTTCGAGAAAAATGTTACCATTTCTTGACAAACGTTGCCACGGTGCACTTTTATTTCTTTTACCAATGGCTGTGTTGCATTTAAGTCAAGTTCCACTGCTGCTGGGAAGGGGCCAAACTGAATGATACCGGAGTCGTCGTCGTTTAATCGAGCCAGTTGGTCCTCTTGAATGAATTCGTCAGGAATGTTATAGGTTGGTGGAGTGAGATTCACAGCATCCGAGTCCAACGTTGCAGCAAATACTGACTGGACATCTAATTCAACGCGGTCTTCAGCAGCTTCGGACAACAGTGGGTTGTTGGAGGGCGATGAGTCATCAGCAGTCTGCACGATGACTTCATTGTCAACTGTCATCTCATCACCTTGATTCAACGGACGGTATCGCTCCGAGTTAGGTTGCCCATGAGAAATGTGGTGGCCGTCACTTGTGCTCGGTACCTCCTCTTGGCTCGAATCAATGGCTGTTGGCATGAGGTTTTCCTCTCCTCTCCGACGTCTGTGAGCAAACATATCAGGTAGATCTTCCAGGCTGTCTTCTGCAGGGTCACTTGCTGACTTATCTTCATCCAGGTCTACTGATTTGGCCAGGAGATAGCATCGTACGTGTTTTAGACCAAGTCTGTCGATCAAATGTTGAATAGTCTCGTTCTCGTGAACGGGTTGGCTACCATGCACATCTGTGGAGACATCTAACTGGAAGTCCCCGAGCGAACCATGACAGTTTTTTCCATCTTGAAAAAACAAGGGGCAAAGGGTATGTAGCAATTTTCTTTTGGGTGTATTTTTGTCGACAGTAATGTGACGTATCCCCCCACCCATGGGGGCGCGTACCTGCTTGTACCTGGACTCTGTAGCCTCGTAAACAGAGAACCCGACTATTAGGGACCTTGAACTTGTTGATGCCTCTTTCGCTTTCTTGCCTCTCGGGCCCCTCTTTGTTTCTGCTGATTTCTGCGTGCTGTTTGACTGACCGCCGTCACTTGGCCCGGGGGCAGAACTCTCATATTCTTCCTCGCTGTCACTTACAAGTCTGGCTGTTTTTTTCCCTGACTTTCCTGCCATTCGGGACCTCAAGCTCTCGAGCAGTGTAAACTTCCTCTTCTGAGTTTGAGTTTCACTGTTCTCCTTCCGGACGAAAGCCTTAACGACAACTCGGTCACCCTTACGAGGAATGTACTCGCTGAGTTCTTCATCCGTCATTTCAATAATGACATCCTCGTCAATCTGAAACATACAAACAAACAAACAAACAAAAAGTAAAAACAAGAATCTTTTCTAGGCATTGATATACTCCGACTAGAAGGACTGACAAGGAAGACTTAGTCCCGTGACTTAAGAAAAAAAATGTGACATGCGGAATTCAAGCACAAATTGTGTGCTGTGGGTCCAAAATAGTCGACAGCAGTTGGGTGTCAGGTTTTGGTGGACTAAATTGAGGTCAGGTCATAGTCAAAGTTTGCGCAAAGGGTCTCTGGTGGTTTGCTTTTCTGATTGGGCGGTCTTAACTGCCAGGTATATAATATCCTTTGATGTTATTCCAAATGTAAAATGTCACACTTTTATGTGTGGAAATTCACTTCAACCATAAACAGTATAGTTGACCAACTTTGACCTTAACCTAGACAACAATTAATATGAATTGGCATTCAAAATTGCGACCGGGTCGTACCCGATCACTTTACGAATTAAGAAGAACGGTCAGGACAGCTTTAAGAAAATTCTCAAGAGCCACCGTTGAGGAAAAGAAACGTCTTCTTTTTTTTATCAAGACTCAATTAAACAACATACAGGGTGTCCCAAAAAAATGGTGCAAGTGAAACGCGCCACGTTACCCAATAACCATTCAATATTTGCTACAGATGTTTATATCATCTTCATGATTACTTCATTAGCTTCGAAATGCCGCTTCTTTCATCGTATTTGCTTTAGTTCATGTAGAGATATGTTTGATTAACCACAAACACCTAAAATCAAGTTTGTGCCACTTTTAGAGTATGAATGCTTCTAAGCCCAAACGCTGCCAGTAGTTCACACATGAGAAGAAATCACCCATGTGTGAACTACTGGCACTTGCACCATTTATTTTGGGACAACCTGTATATTTGAATGAAATTAATGCCCCCCCCCCCACACACACACATTTTTAGGACCATATACAAAAACCCTATGGATATCGTCTAAAAAGGTTTTCCTAAGAAACGTAACATATTTTCCACGTTGATATCATGATTTCTCATTAGAATTTCACTTTTGTTATAAGGAAATAAAGTGGAGGTATTAAAGTAAAATCTATACCGCTTGGATAATTGGATTAGGTCCCTCCAGGAATTCTGCTGAGCACCCTTACCTTTTCGTTCTGCATTTTTTCCAATGTGTCACGCTGCACACCTCGGGCTTTAAGTACACCCCACAGCCGCTCAGACATGCTGAAATGTGCAAACAAAATTAATTTTGCAAACTCGCATTCTCAAATTTGTATCCTTGTGGAGACATTGCTTTGTTTGTTCTCGTGTACAAATAGAAAATAGTGTGGAAATCGAATTTCAAAATGCTCCTGTTCTAACCAGAATCACTCTCCTGGGTTGAAACTTTGACCCAATGTCCCTTTAATATATAAAATACTTCAATTTGCGACGGATCAACACACTTGAAAATTCCTAGTTTGTGAGTAAAATCAAAATAATCTATTTCGTGAAATCCTGGTGGATACCTAGTCACCTTTAGAAATTTCCTTGTGTCGACCTTTACAATCTTTTGTTCCATATTATACCCGGGTCTCCACTAGGATACAAATTTCAGGTCATGAAAATCAAAATAAGGGCCGGAAGCCGAAAGAGGTTTACAACTTAAACTTGGTAAAGAAAAAGGAAACCTAGCTGTCAATAATTACAAGAGCAAAACAATGTGCAATGAAGGCCTACAGCTACCTAGGCCAAGTGCCTCAATTTGACTGATGACACGTACATTTACAAGGCACATCCAAAATGCCTGGTACAAAACGAATTTAAGATGTTAATGTTAGTAACATACAGTATGGGCTTGATCTCACCTGACGAGGCTTGCTACCAAGTGCAAATGTACGCGTCCCCAGTGTCGCCTTTACATACAAGTGGTAGCATCAATACGATCGATCGGACTGACAGACAAGACCGTGCACGCCCGGTCCCCGCTGGCTGTCGAGACCACGTGGTGAACACGAGATATTAAGTTGCGGGCCGCGACATAATAAGTTGCGGGCCGCGACATAATAAGTTGCGGGCCGCGACATAATAAGTTGCGGGCCGCGACATAATAAGTTGCGGCCGCCACATAATAAGTTGCGGCCGCCACATAATAAGTTGCGGCCGCCACATAATAAGTTGCGGCCGCCACATAATAAGTTGCGGCCGCCACATAATAAGTTGCGGCCGCCACATAATAAGTTGCGGCCGCCACATAATAAGTTGCGGCCGCCACATAATAAGTTGCGGCCGCCACATATTAAGTTGCGGCCGCCACATATTAAGTTGCGGCCGCCACATATTAAGTTGCGGCCGCCACATAATAAGTTGCGGCCGCCACATAATAAGTTGCGGCCGCCACATATTAAGTTGCGGCCGCCAGTTATTAAGTTGCGGCCGCCACATATTAAGTTGCGGCCGCCACATAATAAGTTGCGGCCGCGACATAATAAGTTGCGGCCGCCACATAATAAGTTGCGGCCGCGACATAATAAGTTGCGGCCGCGACATAATAAGTTGCGGCCGCCACATAATAAGTTGCGGCCGCCACATAATAAGTTGCGGCCGCGACATAATAAGTTGCGGCCGCCACATAATAAGTTGCGGCCGCCACATAATAAGTTGCGGCCGCCACATAATAAGTTGCGGCCGCCACATATTAAGTTGCGGCCGCCGCATATTAAGTGGCGGCGATGTACAAAAAAATTCTGACGTGTTTGCAAAAAATATATTCATCCCTTAGGGACTGGCACTATCCGGCTTCCGTACATTGCTAACTCGTTCCCACGCATTGCTAACTCGTTCCCACGAATTACTAACTCGTTCGCACGAATTGCTAACTCGTTCCCACGAATTGCTTAATCGTTCGCACAAAGCGCTATTTCCCACGATTTTCTAATTCGTGGGAACGAAAGGCTAACTCGTGGATCGGAGAACGCGTTAGTAATTCGTGGGAACGAGTTGGTAATTCGTGCGAACGAAATAGCAATTCGTGGGAACGAGTTAGCAATTCGTGCAAACGAATTAGCAAATTACAAAAAAAAAACACCCTGTCCCTTTCCAGGCTTCATACATGAGTAAAATAACTGTGGGCAAAATAAATGAATAAAAAACGTGTTTGATTATCCAAATCGGTTCCTGAACTATTGTAACTTCTGTGCTTTTTATATACGGATCCGTGCGTTGTGGGGCTTTTGAGGGAGCTTCAAAATGGCTGCCGCGTGTGTGCGAGGGCGTCACGGTCTTGTACACACGCATTACGGTCGATGTATCGAGATCAGTGGGTACGAGCGAAGCCGAGCAACGGGCTCCAAGGCGGAGCCATGCTGGCGCCCTCTGCTGGCTGATTGGCATAGCCGTTACATTATTATTGCTTAGTTTATTAGTATTAAGCATCACACAGGCTGCCTTTAGTGCATAGTTCGCCACCGGGTGCTGAATGAAAAGGTTCGACAAAGGTGTGGCCGGCTGCAACTCTATTAAGTACGCCGCAACAAATCTGCTACCCGTCGTGATTTCTAACTAGAAAACAGTAGAAACAAACCAAAGCCAACATGTTTAAGAAAATGCAGAAGAGCGCGAAGAGACTGGCTGACGGTTATAACAAAGACGTTAAGAGAGAGACCCAGAAATACCAGACTCTACGAGATCTAGACCTATTCGTCCTGGATAACTCGATCCGTGAGAGCACAGTGGGCCAGCTGCGCGGTCATACTCTGGAGGATAAATGGAAGGTGTTTGATGAGGTGAGACGATGTGGCTTCACCAATGTTATCGTGGCCTCCTTCTCCCACATGACACGCGTAGATGACGTCTTCGTCAAGCAGTTGGTGGAGAAGGGAGAGGACCGTAAAGGACTCTACGCTTTCTCAGAGATAACCGAAGGTAGGCAGAGAAAACCCATCAAATCCTAAAGTTAAATCTACATGGAACAAAACATAGCACCGACGCAGTCCAACAGCCAAAACTATCAGAAATCTGTCCAGGAATTAAGAGACAGTTTTTGAAGTAATTAAAGAAAGAATCAAACAAAGTGGCGTACGAATCGTCGACATATTCGTTTATAATTGTGTTTTTATGGAGTTAAATTAAAAGGTTTTCGATCATGGATTATAGCAAAAATAATAAACAATTGTAGGTTTTTCCACCCGTCAAATGGAAAACGGGGGCCAAAATACATTGCATTCAACTACACACAAAAACACAATGTGCGTGTGTCTGGTTCTCAAGGCAACCATGTTCCCCCATTCAGTAAATCTAAATCAGGTAAACGGAAATGTGTGGTTCGTGGAGCTTATTCATTCAACGCCCTCCCTACACCTCTTAAATGCCCTTTGGCTGCTACTCTTGCCAGCTTTAAAAACACATACAAAAACCTGCTTTTTTAATGTACTAGTGCAGTACCCATCGATAATGTGCCTGTTATAATGGGGCAAATTGCTTGACCTCTGGTTTTGGTTGCTTACAGCTTTTGAGAACTGCTCATCATGCAGACAATTTATGCTCAAGATGTAATATTATTCACGCAGAGTTTTATGCAGTGCATGGGTGCTCTTGGTTTTTTTTTTCAGTGCAATTCTTTGGGTGTGTGTATCTGTGTTTTGTTTGTTTTTACTGAATGTTCCATGATTATTTTTTATACATGTATATTTTAAGTGTTTTTATGTACCCATTTCTTACTATTTACTATTTTTAGTGTGTTCTGTAATTGTAGTTTTAAATGAATTTTTCTGTATAACTGCTGGGCACCTCTGGAAAACAGTGTACCACTGAGAGGTTTCCCCAGGGTAAATAAGAAATAAATAAAATAAAAATAAAAATTGGCACGTTTCCCGGGACCCAATGTAAACCACCCAGCCCTAGAACCTCAATACAACCCAGCCAGGCCAGACCTAAATGTAGCCCAAACCCCAACGAATCCGTTTTAAAACGGTATTCTAAAGTATGTGTTTTGCATGCTTACGTGTTAAATCTTGTGCTTATTGGTCAATTTTTTTGGTCAACCCAATTTGCTGGGTTTTTTTCTCCAAAGGTGCGAAAAATCGGATACCGAACGCCGAGAAGATTCCTGTGGGATTGCAAAAGATGCAGGAGACGGGTCTCTGGAACGCAATCCTGGAGGTAGACCTGAGTGACGGCGTCTACGACTTCAGTAAATTCACCATGGATGACCTGTGCGCACTTGTCAAGAAATGGATCATGTGGGTGTACGACAACCTGCATCGAGACGCCAAGGTGTTGATCAACCTGCGAGACATGTCCGATGTGATGCCTGTGAAACCCGTCCGGGCCTTCCAGCTGGTCGAGTTCCTTGCCGAGATGCCAGAAGATGTCCGACCTTTTGGGTTGATCTTCGAAGAGGCCAGAGGCCTTTGTGTGCCAGAGGAGTGCGGCAACTGGGCCAAGTACATCCGAAAGAGTATGGATGCGCACAACTGGAAGGGGAAACTGCTGGTGCATGTTCATGAGAAGTACGGTTATGCCAACTCCTCACAGCTCGAGGTAGGTCAGATTTGTCTGCCTTTACTAACGTTCTTTCTGGTATAATGAAACCTAATGTTTCCCCGTTGTGCACAGCGCTATAGCTCATACCCTGGAAAAGTCGAGAGAAGATGCTGAAGAAATGTTACGTTTTTATTGCGTTTTTAAATATGCCAGAGTTGTAATGACTCGAGTCAATGACTCGACTCGAGTTACAATTTTTAGTGACTCCACTCGACTTGAGTCCCTCATCAGACGAAGGCTAATAAGACGCAAGTACTTATTAAAAAAAAACAATTTTTAGTGACTCCACTCGACTTGAGTCCCTCATCAGACGAAGGCTAATAAGACGCAAGTACTTATTAAAAAAAAAAAACTTTGCGAAAAATATTTGCCCAAAAAAACCAAAACAAAACAAACCTACAGTTTGTGGGAACAAACACGGTGTTGGGCTTCATGATCGGTTTGTTATGCTTTGTTCTTGATTGTTGATGTTGATTGTTGATATTGATTGTTGATAACTGTTGATGTTGATTGTTGATTGTGGATTTTGATTGTTAATGTGATTTTGTCACGTGATTTTGCGCACATGAGATAAAATGAACATCATGTATTATCATGTCGATTCCAGCAAAATTTAAGTTCTGGTCTCTCACAGTTGATTTTATCGTAAATTTCAAAGAATAAATTTATTAATCTCTAAAGTGGCTTCACGTGACCCATGATGACGTCACAATGACGTAATTACAAAAAAGCACATCTCCAGTGGGTTGTGCATTCATGTATTGACAATTGAAGTTCATATATGTTTTCACTGTGACAAACAGTTCTGGAAACATTTGGCGAGAAGAATAACAAGAAGAAGGAGAAGAATAGTAAATTCGTACAATAACAATAAAAAATACCGATATCTTATTAAATGATTCTTAATCTCAAATCTGACTTACTTATGCATTGCAGAGTTTGATGTGTGGTGCGGATGGTACTTGGGGCAGTATCTGCATTGAAGGTGCTGCCATGGGCAACGCATCAACCTGCGTCACTATGATGAACCTCATCCGCCTTGGCAACAAGAAGATCCTTAAGAGCTACAACTGCTCCTACCTTCGGAAGGCTGCCATCAACGTGACTAGGATCACCACCGGCCAAGACCCGGACCCCAAGCAACCGGTGTATGGGGAGAGAGCCTTGGACTTCGTCTTGGGGCTGAATAAGGAAGACTTTGACTTGGCTGACTTCTTTGGAGAAAAGGCGCCCAAGAGGATCACTTCTTTGGCATCCAATGAGATGATCCGTCTGCAGTTGATTGATCTTTACGGCGACGATCCGCAGTTCACCCTTGACCAAGCTCAAAAGATGAAAGAAGTCATGCTCGAGGATCTTCGAAACAATAGGTAATTTGTGTAACTGTAAGCCACAATTTGAGCCATAACACTTGACGCGTTATCATTGATGACGCTGACTTTGTTCCATTTGTGTTTGTATCACTCCAGGAAGGAAGAGTACATGAGTGAGGTTGGCCTGGCTCTCCTCTTCGACAGGGCCGGAGGCAAAGTCACCGAAAAGATGCGTGACGTCATCGAGAAGATGAAGCTGAACGACGTGCACGCCGAGAGGATGCTCTCCGAGGTACGTGAGATCTGGGACACCTGGGACCTGAAAGACGAAGTGCAAGGTGATGAAATGCTGCAGTTCGACTCCTTCTACAATGGCTTCATGGCGCCCTACTTTGCCTGCTACCGGTGCTCCGACACCCGTCAAGCTCTGCAGGCCATTGACATGGATGCAGACGGGCAGGTGGATTGGAGTGAGTTTCTGGTGTATCTCAAGTGGGCCTTGCATGAGTACCCCAACATCAAGGATACCCAGGAGCTGTTGGATATCGCGTTTAGGAAGGGGCTCATCCCTGCCATGAGGGATGAACTCCTTAAGGACTAGATATCCAGAGTATCAAGTTATCACAAGTCACATCGCAATTCCAGTCTTTATTTAACTGACAAGCCATGTTATTGAACTTCAGGCAGAAGTGACTATCTATCCAAAACAAGAGTAGTTCTTATAGATACATAGATTTCCTTACTAGGGTTTAGGCATTATCCTGATGATGGTCAGGGCACAATGACTGAAACGTCCAGTTAACACCTCTGATTCCTACATCCAATGAACTTATAACATATATAGACCCTGAACCCTAGTGTTACATATTACTCTGACGTAATGATGACGTAATCATGTGTCACGTTAAAAGCGATTCTCGTTGAAAAAAAAAGATGACCATCTTCTTTCACCTTAAATCTTGGACAAAATAATCGATCATGTACAACTTTGCAGACAGATGGTCTATTATTGATAAACATTTTTTATCGCGTAAGCGAACTCGCTTGACCTTTACTCCCGGGTCTACCGGAAGGTCAAAATTAGGTGAATTTAAAATACAGACAGTAGCCTCAAAATCAAACCGAACCTTGAAATTTCTTCCAAACTGTTGACGAGATGAAGATAAACAATAGACGGAACACGAACCCTGGTCCGAAGATGCTCGACAAAAATAATTTGATGTCATCATGACGTCATCGGGTATCAAATTTAAAGAGTTAACCTAAACATTTGAAAAATTGCTTTTAATGATCACTCCATAACGGAATGGAGTTTTGTTCTCATATTTTTGTTATTTTTACGCATTGCCTCTGGCAATTTGATTCCAAGGCTCAAAGCCAATTTTGCCAACCCAACTTTTGAGTCTCATATGACGTAATCAAAAGTAAAAAAATGTGCTTCCGTTTAAGAAGTTGTCATATAAACGTGTACAAAACACTGGTAAACACTTAAAATGCTTTGGGTTATCAAACAGCCGTTACATGTGGCTCGATAGTTAACATAAAATTACACAAATCATTCAAAATTATCGAAAGTATCGATATGGGGAATTCGCGTGATATAGATGCTAAAATAAGCGGGAAATCCATTTAATAATAGCGAGATCTTGCTTTTTTATTGACTTTTGGAGAAAAATTAGTCATTGGTTTGGAGGTGAAGATTGGAAAATGGTTAGTAATATCCGAAGTTATAATTAACCAGTCTGGTATTAGTAAAATGTTGGTGAATATTTTGTCACTTAGAGTAGCCTCGCGTTACCCTTGTGGGTTTATCTATGAACGGAGTAAAAGGAGGGTGTGAAAACATAATGTCAATGAAATTTGAACTAAATTATTATCTTCATCATTTAGAAGGTTAATAATAATATTCAGGTCTCTAGTAAGAAACTGTTTATTTGTAGTAGAACTACAGGTGATAATATTATCAAAATGGTTCCAAAACCTGTGCAGGTTTATGTAAAACACCGTTTATCATATGATTGGATGATGTTTGGTTTAATTCAGTAAACAGTGATGCCACTGAGTTATTAGAGTAATTCAGATTATGATGTCCCGTGTTTAAGACCAACTTTACAATCGGGGTTGTGAGTGTGTCTAGTTTTAAAAAATTGTAAACAAAAACAGTTGATGACGTCATCATGACGTCATTTTAGATATTGCATAACAGTACCATTTTTATCTACCTATACCAACAAGTTTCATGACGATCGGACCTACTCTCACGATTTTGAAAAATCTAAAGTTTTTAATGACGTCATTTTGACGCCTCATTTCTCGCGTTATCTATTCATTTTTTTCATAGCAAAACTTAAGTAGCTTGTCTTCGGCATGCTTGAAAACGTAAGTGAAATTATGTCTTAAATAAAACTATTGTTACTTTAAATTCCAGAGAACTTGACCTAGGCATGATAAATATTGCAACAATTGTCAACACATTCCATATATGCAAACTCACTTAAGCATTCTTAATCTGTACAAAGTAGTGTCTTTATAATAAGACAATACTGAATACTCTATGTCTGATGGAAATTAAGTAAAAGTTTCCTTTTTTTAAATACAAAATTAAACGTACATTAGTCACATACATCATTACAAGTATCATGTGGGATTCATGTATGTGCATACTGTTCCCCTGTTTCTAACCAAATGTAGATAGATAGCCAAACTTTTTTTCAATAACAACGATCATAACGAGGGAGTCAGGAATATGCTTCTGAGTTCCAGTGTTAGTGAGCTCCATTAGTGAAACAAAAGTGATTAGTGCAACAAACAAGAACTAGTAAAAACAATAGCTCAGAATATGAAAGTACATAAATCACCTGATCACAATGATCACATTATAGCGGATGCCCGGTCGTACACACAAGGATGTGACAGGGAAAATAAACAGGGAAGTCCGCATACGCGGGAAATAACATGTTTACTTGGATTGACTTTCCTTTTACCCAACTTATAATAATGATGTGGTGCTTTCCCCGGTTCATCTGGCCACGAGACCACTTCAGCAGCAGCTCAGTATCAGTGCAAATGGCCAGTACCTTCGAATGCACCCATTCCTGGGTGGAGGAAAACAATGCGTGACAAAAGTGCCTTGCCCAAGGGCACACGCGCCACTTAGTAACCCCAGGCTGGACATGAACCCACAACCACTCCAGCTTTACCTGCAGACCACGAATCCAATGCCCTTAACCGCGAGGCCACTGCACTCCGATAACATTTAGAATACAGTGTGTCAGTTTACATTCAACGAAATGGTTCAGTCATGTTAGAATGCATATACATCCCCCCACCAACACCACCAAAAAAGGGTCAGGGGTGGAACAAAATGATACTCTTTGCAGAAATGATTAATACCTTTTGATGTGAATCTTCGAAGCACTAAAAGTGGACAACCAGATGTCTCATCTTTTGGGGAAAAAATGATTACGTGGGTATTAAGTGGCGCCATCTGTTCTTTCCTTAATTGTGTATTTTTCCGCTAGCAGAATTTCAGATTTTCGAAGTCTCGCAACCGGAATTCAAAATTTCTATTTTCTGCTATCAATAGTTTGAAGACTGACTGGGCGCCCCGAAAATATACATCTGAGAATCTCTCGATTCCACTAGCAGAAATATATGGTTTGAAAGATCGTAGAAATTAAAATATCCTGGTGGGTTTTTTTTGCCCAAACTTAAAAATCCACTGATCTCTTTTTTTTTTTTAAAGGCACATGTTTTTGGGTTGCCTTTTTTTGGGTGGCCCTCAATGGGGCGATTCACTGCAAACCCTGTCAATGAAAAGTTTCCTAAGTATATCTCTCTGGGGGGCAAAAGAACACAGAATTTTTTTTTTTTTTTTAAATTGGAGAAATCTTTTTTTTTTAAATTGTTTTGAAAAAATGGCCCTCGTCTGTTTTTTTGATCACTTTTAAGTCTTGCCTGATTGGGAAATCTCTTTTCAGATTCCTTATTTGGCTGTACAATAATAGAAAGAGATCGACTGGACAGTCAGTTTACTCGTGCGCGCACGTTCTTCTACAAAAACCATTTTCCGACTGGACTCGGACTTGCCGCAGACTGGACTTGAGCCGGACTTGGACCAAAATGGACTCGGACTTGTTTCGGACTCGAGTCTTCGTGGACTCGGCTCGGCTCGGACTAGGATGGAGTGAACTTGACCAAGGGCGGATCCGGGGGGGGGGCCCAAAAAAATTGTGTTCTGGATCCCTTGAACTTGACTACATCACTGCATCTGTCCCATTACATTTTTCTCAGTATAGCGGATGCCCGGTCGTACACACAAGGATGTGACTGGAAAAATAAACCGGGAAGTCCGCATACGAGGGAAATAACATGTTTACTCGGATTGCCTTTCCTTTTACCATACTGTGTATATAGCGCCTTATACCAAACCACTTCAGCAGCAGCTCAGTGTCAGTGCAAATGGCCAGTACCTTCGAATGCACCCATTCCTGGGTGGAGGAAAACAATGCGTGACAAATTGCCTTGCCCAAGGGCACACACACAATAACCCCAGGCTGGACTTGAACCCACAACCACTGCAGCTTTACCCGCAGACCACGAATCCAATGCCCTTAACCGCGAGGCCACTGCACTCCGACAACATTTAGAATACAGTGTGTCAGTTTACATTCAACGAAATGGTTCAGTCATGTTAGAATGCATATACCCCCACCACCAAAAAAAGGGGAGGGGTGGAACTAAATGGTATTCTTTGCAGATCTGATTAATACCTTTTGATGTGAATCTTCGAAGCCCTAAAAGTGGACAACCAGATGTCTCTTATTCTAAAATATGAATATAAGGTGGGTTTTATTAAGTGGCGCCATTTGTTCTTTCCTGATTTTCCCCTAGCAGAATTTAAGATTTTCGAAGTCTCGCAACCGGAATTCAAAATTTCTATTTTCTGCTATCAATAGTTTGAAGACTGACTGGGCGCCCCGAAAATATACATCTGAGAATCTCTCGATTCCACTAGCAGAAATATATGGTTTGAAAGATCGTAGAAATTAAAATATCCTGGTGGTTTGTTTGTTTTGTTTTTTTGGCCCAAACTTAAAAATCCACCGATCCCTTTTTTTTAAGGCAAATGTTTTAGGGTTGTGTCTTTTGGGGTTCACCCTATATATTTCTTTTGATTCAAGCAAAATTAATCTTTGTTATTTAGGGTGCACGTTTTGGTTACTTGTGGAGCAACTGTTTCTTGGTATCATTACTGGATGTGAAATACACCTCGACCGAATCATCACCAAAGTTTATCAACATAAAAGTGCCAAAAATATTTCCCGACCGACCAACCCTATTTTGAAACCGGCATGGAAAATCGGATGTAGAACAACAATTTCAGCCAATTTAAGAAACAATTGTCTCGACTGATATCCTGTGTGAGAAGTGTCTTAATTGTAACTTTAGTATTAGGAAATCCACGTAGGTTTATTTTGAGGCGCCATGCGTAAATTCCTGGCATTGTTTTATTTATTAAAAGGATTGTGCAGATTGTAAGCTCTTTTGCCACAGTCATTGGAATAAGCATTCTTAATGTATCGTCATATTCATGTAGTTTCCACTGCGAACGGATGATTGAAACGAACTTTCGTATCCTGAGCTTTTGTTTTCACTAGTTCTTGTTTGTTGCACTTTCGCTTCTGTTTCACCAATGGCGTGCCTATCACGCGATTGAAACATTGGAGCTCAGAGGCTAATTCCTGACTCCTTCGTTGTGATCGTTGTTATTGATAAAAAGTTTGGCTTGTCTCTCTACTTTTGGTTAGAAAAAGAGGAAAGTGTTCATGTACATGATATAGTCCGTGAGCTATGGGGGGTCCCAGTGCACCCCCCAGGACCCACCGCCACCGATATTTTGTTAATCCTTGGCATGTCCCCAATAGGAAAAAAAAGTTAACAGTGACCATTTATGGATACACTCTCTCAGGAGCCCACTTATTGGAACCGCCTATGATTGAGCTTAGACGCATTTTCTATAGCACTAGGGTTGGAAGGGGAATAAACAAAACGACATAACCTGAGCAGACCTTGACCGATCTTAATCAAACTGAGCAAAATTATTCTTCATGAATAGGTCTTTCGGAAAATATCTTTGGTTGTCATGGAAACCAACTATAGAGGGCGCTACAGTCAAACGAAATATATATACACGTGTATTTTCAAAACTTTTCCGAAAAATTGCTCATCATTAACATTACAGCTTACTTTTCGTCTTGAAAGCCACCAAATCAGTTACGATTATCCATTAGGTCTTGTAGGCATTTTGAGTAAGTTAAACACCGTCCTGCTGAATCCAGGTTCTGGTATTAGCCTTTGGGTTGGTAGGTGTCAGGTCCATCTTCCAGATACATGGCCATACCTTCATCAATCTTGGTTAAGCTTGATATGGTATAATTATGCTCATATATTTATCTTTCTAAAAATGCCATGAATCGTCATGGAAACCGACTACAGAGGGCCCTATACCCAAATAAATATAATAATTCATATTCATATCAACTGAGTTCCCTTGAATTTAAAGTAAGGACAGTTTATTTTATACATAACTTCAATGATTTTAGTAATTTCAAGTATGCCTAAGACAAGCTACTTAGTTTGAAGGTTTTGTTAGGAAAAGAGAATGCGAAAAATGAGGTGTCAACATGACGTCATTAAAACGCGATTTTTTAAAACGCACATAAGATTAAGAGTAGGTCCAATCGTCATGAAACTTGGTGGAAGGTAGATATAAATGGTTCTGTTATGCAATATCCGAATGGGCACCATCTCGACGGGCACCATTCCTCAACCGACTACGCACTGGCTGGGCGAATAGTGGAGCATTCTTCAGTACGCTCCTGGCTGTCCAAGACGACACCACTTCAGACGATCGTGTAGTGTAGGGCCCCTGTTTTGTTTTGAACAAATTGAGGTCAAAAAAGTTCCAATGACACCCATTTTGCAATTTTGAACAATTTTTTTGGGGTAGAAATCACGATTTTTCTGCGCGGTTTGTGCCTTGCGATTCAGCGCGCCGTGCGTGCTCACGGTACATCGAGCATAGATATATAATTTAAAATAACTAGATCGGACGCGCGTTCGAACGCGCCATTCACTGTGCACAAAACTTCTGGGTTCTTCATGGACGCGCTGCAAAGTCACGTGAATAGGGCCACGCGCAAAGGGCAGCTGGTGAATGCTGGACGGAAAAATATCGTCAACACCCACCCCCACCTGAATTCAGCTATGCGTTGAAGTTCTTAACAACAGGTTGACATTTTTAACTACGATTTTTGACAATGTGACATTTCATATTCCTTTGAAAAGTTACACATGAGTTTGCCTCTGTGTCTTTATTTGGGGCCAAATTGGCGACTGTGTTGAAGGTAATTGATTTTCAGCCAAGAATACTAATTTGTACCGAAAAGTAGCCACATTGTGTTCTTATATCTTTAACAAAGGCAAATGTCAAAAGCGTAGTTAAATGTCAACCAGTTTCATGAGATTTTCCTCTTTTTTAAAATGTGCAATAAAAATCAACCGTTACTTGCCTATCAGACAAAACATAAACTTTTAATTTTACCAACATCAAAATGAAATAACAGAAAATCATTTTGTAAATGAGCAACGATAAAAACGGGCACTCGAAATATTGCGTTGCTTTTAATAATAATAATAGCTTTATTTACAGATGGTGGCCATGTCACCTGACAGATGATTTTCAATGGGCCATCAATTAATACTGCTAACCTCAATAGGAACATTACATTTGAAATGAATGGATGACTACAAAAACAAGTCTCTGGCCGGCCATCTGTTGTGAGTACTGAACAAACGAATACTTAAATAACTTTTAGGTAATAAACACTGTGAAAACTTACTCGGTAGCTAATAAATAATCTGATGAAATGGCAGTTCCATATCCATATCC